TCAGACCCCAAGGCGAGAAAGAAAAATGCTTTATTATTTTTGTACTGCTGGGATTGGATGGGAGGGAAAAAGGATATTGTATATGGAGACAAATAGGTCAGGTTTATACAGGAAAATGTAGGGAATGTACAAATATTCAAAAGTTTTTACTAATTGCCTTTGGGTTTCAGAAAATATCTATGTAGATAGATTGCATGGGGAACTGGGGAAAGAGGGAGAAACAATAACTTGCATTTATATAGGATTATCCTTCATAAAATCTGTATGAGAAAATTGAACAAGATACATGAATAGCTGGTAATATCCTAATTATTCCAATTCTAAGCTTGAAAATGCAACTTTGTCACATGCACACACAAGAAAAACTATGTGAAATGCAAACTTTTTTTCTTTTTCTTTAATTCATAAAATAAGCATGCATTCAAATGACAATATAGTGAAGCTTCTGTTTTATACCCACAGGTACATGGACAATATGCCCAGGTGGGAACATCTCAAATGATTAAATATAATAATAATCCTTGCATTTGATACAGTGCTTTTTACGTCTTCTAGACGTCTCAAAACACTTCACAGAATAGACTGTAAATTGAATTGACTGTATATTTGTGGGTGAAAATGCGGCAGCCAATTGTGCACAGCAGTGTCCCAGAAGCAGTCGAGGATTGAAATGACCAATTTATTATTGTTTTTTTGAGGGATTACAGGCATGTGGAGTAAAGAAACTTGGCCAAGGTTTCACCCTGCCAGGAATCGAACCCAGGTCCTTCGCTTGCAAAGTGAGTACTCTTACAACTGAGCTACAGGACTCCACAGATATGTTCAGTTTAATTATAGTTGTTTCGCTTAATATACTGACTTGCTATCTTGGGAGAATATGCTACACCTTGCACCTTCCTTTAACAACCTTCAATTCCCCTGATTTGACATACTTTCTTTGTAGAGATTTGGTAAGCTGTTACTTCCAGCAGTGTCAGCATTTCCGGTGTGTTAGGTTACCTTTCTCCAGCTGTGCTATTGCACTTATTGTAGCTACATTGTCTTTGGCACTGTGTTTTCCACCACTGAATCGCATTGTGCAATTCTTCAATCTCCTCCTTTTAAGGTTCAACTGTTATATTGATATTCTGAGCCACTTCTTTCCATTGATGATTGGCAGCACAGTGCTTCAATAAAATCTTCCTGTAGCATCCTTGAAATACAAGTCCATCTCTGCTAGAGTAATAATTACATTTTTTCCCCTTTTAAAAAGTTTCCAAGCAACATCATGCACAGAAGGTAAATAATAATCCTTGCATTGGTGCAACACTTTTCTTGCCAGAAGGGCATCTCAAAGCATTTCATAGGATTTAAAAGCACAGTGACTCTATTTTGTAGGCAAACAAAAAAAGGACACCTGGAACACTAGCATGGATAATTCACTTTATTTGCATGCTTCTCAAGATTACAGACAATTAGATCTCCTTGGCTCTTTTAGTTAACTTTTGAACTATTATTTCAGTGTAATGCAGCATGGCAAAGTTGGTAGCACTTTCACCTCTCAGTTAAAGTTCTGGGTTCAAATCCCACGTCCGGATTTTGAACTAGGCATGGTCAAGGCTGATACGCCAGTCCTGGTGGTGTGCTAGTTTGTCGAAGATGCCGGCCTCCTGACACGATGTTAAACTGATGTTAAACGATGTTAAACGATGTCTGCCTGTTCAGATGGACTTCAAAGGTTCTATGGCGTGATTTGAAAACAGAAGGAAATTTCTCCCGGTGTCCTGGCTAACAATCCCCCAAATAAAACTGGCGCACTCACCTACAAATGCAATGACTACGCTTTACAAAAATATCCTGTGAAGCACTTTAAGACGTCCTCCTTGACATGAAAGGCGCTGTGCCAAATACAAGGATTATTATTGCTCCTGGAGAGATGAGGTAATACCAGCAATGCCGTGCTTTGCCATGAGCCCAAACTTATAACTTTTTCCCCACTCCATGTGAACAAGTTCTCCTGCCTCTTCCCCCCTTACTCTCTTCCCCCCACTCTCTCTACTCACTCTCTCCCTTCACTCTTTCCCCCCCCAACTCTCTACTCACTCTCTCCCCCTCACTCTTTCACCCCCCATCCTACTCACTCTCTCTCCCCCTTCACTCTTGCCCCCCCCCCCACTCTCTCTACTCACTCACTCTCCTACTCTCTCTCTCTCTCTCTACTCACTCTCTCCCCCTCCCTACTCTCTACTCACTCTCTCCCCACTTCACTCTTCCCCCCCCCTTTCTCTCTCTCCTCACTCTCTCCCCCTTCACTCTCCCCCTCCCTACTCTCTACTCACTCTCTCCCTCACTCTTCCCCCCCCCACTCTCTACTCACGCTCTCCCCCTCACTCTGCCCCCCCCCTGCTCTCTACTCACTCTCGCCCCCCTCACACTCTCCTACTCTCTACTCACTCTCTCCCTCCTTCACTCTTCCCACCCCCCTACTCACTCTCTCCCCCTTCACTCTTCCCACCCCCCTACTCACTCTCTCTCTCTCTCTACTCACTCTCACCCCCCCTCACACTCTCCTACTCTCTACTCACTCTCCCCCCCTCACTCTCTCCCCCCTTCACTCTTCCCACCCCCTACTCACTCTCTCCCCCCTTCACTCTTCCCACCCCCCTACTCACTCTCTCCCCCCCTCACACTCTCCTACTCTCTACTCACTCTCTCCCCCCCTCACACTCTCCTACTCTCTACTCACTCTCTCCCCCCCCCCCACAGTCTCTTACTCTCTACTCACTCTCTCCCCCCTTCACTCTCTCTCTCTACTCACTCTCTCCCCCCTCACACTCTCCTACTCACTCTCTCCCCCCCACACTCTTACTCTCTACTCACTCTCTCCCCCCCTCACACTCTCCTACTCTCTACTCACTCTCACCCCCCTCACTCTCTTACTCTCTACTCACTCTCTCCCCCCCCCTCACACTCTCTTACTCTCTACTCACTCTCTCCCCCCCTTTACTCACTCTCTCCCCCCTTCACACTCTCTCTTCTCTACTCACTCTCTCTTCCCCCACCACCATTTAAATAGCGGACACAATGGCTTACAATGACGCTTTTGGTTCGACCGGCACAACAAAATATTTGTAAAAAAAAATCTGCGAACAAGCAAGTAAGTAAGTAAGTAAGTAAGTAAATAAACGCGTACGTGAAGTACTGTAGACAGAAATGAGCGACCGGAGTCCCGACAAACTCGGCCTCCGCGGCCGCCGACCCGCGAGGACACTGACCGCGCGCCGGTCACGTGGCCCGCGCCACGCGGCCGGAGCGGTTGGTGCCGCGTGACGGTTGGGAGGCGCCGCGCGCGCGCAGCGCAGCCCAGCGTGCGCTCGAGCGGCGCCATCCGGGGGAGGCGCGGCGGCTCCTTCCCGCCCCACAGAGCGTCAGGTGCCCCGGGAGTCACAAAGAAGCATCTGCGTAATCAAGAGAGCGATAGCCGTCGGTCTCCTTCGACGAACTGACCGCCCTTTACCGGGGGGGTGGGGTGGGGAGCTGCCGGCGGATTCGGCTTATTCGAGGTTTCCATCTCCTCTTTTAACAGCATTTCATCTCCTCGAGGCCACCTGCCTGCGACTGGCGCTTCCACTCAGTTGGGTCGCCTTTGGGGTCGGAGAGGCGGCCGAGTCCAGTGCCCCAGAGCGAAAGTGTCAGCGGTCCTTGTTCGTCGGTTGGTTGAGGTCCTATCCACTTGGTACAGGTGGACGGTTACGATCCGCTGATATTACTTGAAGATCGTCCGTCCCCCAGTATCTTTGGTCCGCGCTCTTCCGGATTAACCGGGTCCAAATTAATGGGTCGATCGCCAGTTTCTGGCTGTTGGGGAGACCTTTGCTGTTGCTGTGTTGAATTGCGTACGACTTGACACGCAAAAGGGCCCTGGGAAGGTGCAAGTTAATTTGGGAAATATAATTTTATCATGGTTTGACCTCACAAAATATACAGTCAATTCACTTTACAGTACAGTCTCGAAGACGTCATAAGGCGCTCTACCAAATGCAAGGATTATTATTGTGGTATATGGCAGTTATAATATATAATTATTTACTATATTTTATATAATATATATAATAGTTGCTGTGTTAATTAATTCTGTTTTTATTTTTGGCATTGTTAGAGAGACGCCAAAGCTGCAGGATGCTGGAATTTGGAGATGATTGCTTTTTACCCCTGGATACTTTGTTTTTTGAGAAACCTTCCGACAAAGTGTATGTTGCTACTAGTTTTAGTTTTCATGACTAATTTAAGTTTCAATTGCAAAGGAATAGAAAGTTTTGCTGATAGGCTTAGTTGAGGAAGGGCAGGAGGAAGCTCATGTGGAGCCATAAACGCCGGCATAGACCAGTTGGGCCAAATGGCCTGTTTCTGTGCTGTATATTTTATGTAAGTCTATGGTAACATGGCATGGTCAACAGTGTAACATAATTAAAGATGCCCACAAGTGTGGATAACTCGGAAGAACCAAAATAGTTACTTTTGTGAAGATTTTAAGATATTGTTGAAAATAAATTTCTATATATGCTTGGGTACAATCCCATGAAGCTTTGGTACCTCACCCAAACATATAGGTTGGTGATTTCACTAATCTGTAACTAATGGGGGTCCCTCGTTATATATTTTCTATCAATCCATAAACATGACTTATTGATTTAACATAATTTACAGCCATTTATTCATAGACATTATAATCTTAAAAATCAAGTTAACTTTACAATCTCTTGATTAAAAAGAGTCAATGAAGCCTTTAAGGTCATCAGAAGTATCAAGGAAACACTGTATATTTTCCTTTTCTTTCTACTGAATATTTGCAGTAGGCAGGAATTTTATAGCATTTAGATTACTATCGACTACAGTATATGTAATTCACCTTTTTATTTCCTAAAATGAATAAGTCATTTTTGTTCAGTAAATTTATGCATTTGGCGCGTTAAGGTGCTCTACTGATACTTTTTAACAGGAAATGGAGCAATCAAGAGCAGATGAGTTGGAAGATTGCCCCAGCTCCACCAATTACTGAAATACCAGCTACTCAGGAACTGCAGAAAGAGCTAGAAATATTGAGCTCTTCAGGTACTATACACTACTTTCCTTTTTATTTTGCTATACCACATTTTTCCGTGAAAGAAGGGGGGATATTTCAAAACACATTTTAATGTCATTCTTTAAACAATAATAATAATCTTGCATATAGTGCCTTATTATGTTGTTGAGAATTCTCAAAGCCTTCACAGAATAAACTGTCAAGTGTATATTTTGTGGGCGAAACTAGGAATTGAATATGTTTAGGAATATTGCAATTTTAACTTCACTATCTAATTTAGCATTTAACTTAACAGACTGTTGATTTTACTTTGTGCTTTATTTTACAGGTATCAATCAGTCATCAAAGAAATTTTTTCCACCTTTCAAGAAAGATGAAAATATGTGTCAGTCACAAACAGCTGTTGAATCCAAATATACATATATCCCAGTCAAACGCAAAACATTTGAATTAGGGATAAGCAACTCTTTAAAAAGTCAATCTGAGTTTAATTTCAGAAATGCTAATTCTGATAATTCAACCAGTTTTTTAAATGACTGCAAAGGTCATAGCAGACAACAGCAAAAGCACATTGTACATTTATATGATAATTTGAATTGTCCAAATATATCACATAACTCTGAGGAAAAAGATAAAAGTCCAAACTCGTTCAGAAAAAGGTAATTTTCTAAAAAAAATTATGTAAAGCTCCTGCATTTTTCTACTGTTGTGTTTCAGTTGTGTAGTGCAGGGCCCTTCAAAGTCATGTACTCCCTCAGCTAATTGAGGAATTACTAGCCAAAGTGCTTTCTTGGGAACATTTAAGTAAGACTTCAAGACAAAGATCCTGCCCTCTTTGTTATGAATCTGATCCTATTACATTGTATGTGTAGGGTAACATTTATTTTACTTTTTTAGTACATAAGAAGTTTTGGAACATTAGATTCAGTTCCTTAATGTTCTGCTTTAGTTTATTTGTGGTTTAAGAAGTTTGATTAAATAATAATGTGCATTTTTTTTAATTAACAGCTAAATCGGTATATTTTATCACAGGGACTGAAATGTTTGACATTTATGACCCATTTCTGTATTTCCCTGTAGCTTATTTAAAAAACCACTAGCAGGAACTGACTGCTCTTCCTCGTTTGAGAAGTCAGTGTTGTGCAGTGAAATAAATGGCTTTAGAAATTTTGCTGTGAAAGAAAACGTATATGGTGTGATGGACAGTACCAACCGCAGAAATCAGAGCGAGTCTTGTGTGAAAAAAGCACGTGTGCTTCCTATGGTACCACAATCACTTAACCTGAAAGGTAAGACATAATAATAACACTCTACATTGGATATACTGTAGAACCATATATAATTGAGACCTCTCAAAATGCTTCACAGGATTTACTGTAAACTCTGGTGACTGTGTTTGTAAGAAACACGACAGCCAATTTGCGCACAGCAATGTCCCACACCTTATCACAGAGTGAATGGTACGTTTTATTTGGGGGATTGTTAGCAAGGACACCAGGAGAACTGACTTTCTCTTTTCCAATGGTGCATTGGATGTTTAACATCCACCTGAATATGCAGATAGGTCTTGGGTTAAAGTCTCACCTGACAGAACAACTCTGACAGTGCAGCATTTTATCAGGATTTTATACTGTAGCAATAGATGCAATAGGTTTGTGGTGATGAGTTTTGTACTTTATAAAACTAAATGAGGTTAATAGGCATAAAAACAACACCATCCTAATCATCTGAGTTCCTAAATATAGTATCCAGTTAGCATTAGAAATCTTAAAATTCAATTGCTCCACAAGGACCAAATTATGATCTTCATTCCAGCAACTGACTTAACAAAAAGCTTTATCAACCTAGGATATTTCTACATTTCTTCATCCTGTGCACCATGCTTACTTCAACATAAAACATGTGAAGAGTTGTGAGAACGAGACCTAGGCTGCCAGATAACCGTGAAGGAAATGGATGAAGAATGGAAACAGAGCATTCACAAATTCAACTTGCAACAAATTGTGGAATAACTAACTGAAAATCATAACCAAAACATACTGCACCCCACACAAGCTGAACATACAGTTATTAATAATTATAATAATAAACCTTGCATTTGATTTAGCACCTTATCACGTCTTCGAGATGTCTCAAAGCATTTCACAGAATATACTGTAAAGTGTAGTAGATTTGGACCTAACATCACAATCTTAAAGATGGCATCTTATATTGGAATTGCAGTTGCATGTAATGTATAATAAATCCATGTGACTACCATATTAATAATAATAATTCTTGCATTTGATATAGTGTTTTTCACATCTTCTGGACGTCTCAAAGCGCTTCACAGAATAGACTAAAATGAATTGACTTTATTTGAGGGCAAAATGCGGCAGCCAATTGTACACAGCAGTGTCCCACAAACAGTCGTGGTTTGAAGTGACCAATTTATTATTGTTTTATTTTCTTGAGGGATTATTATCAGGTGTGTGGAATAAGGAAACTTGCCCAAGATTTCACCTTGCTGGGAAGTGCTTTCAAGAGATGAGGGGTTAAGAAATTAGTGTTTCCTGTTGAAAAATGTGTCGCTTTTGTACTTTCAAATTGCTTTTTATTACTTACAGATGCAACAGGAAAGAATTCAGGAACATTGAGACCAGTTACTGAAATTTGTATCCTTAGATCCATGGACTTGTTTTGTTAGTAAATAATAAGATAATGTTGTTATGAACAAAATGTTCGTTCTGTAACACTGCAGAGAAAATACTACAGAACTATTATTTTTTCTGTTGTTTAGAAGTTTTACAATACTGGGGTAACTTTTAAAAATGAAAATGAGTATATTCCACCCTCAATATAACCATGCTTGTAGCTTTATGTTGCATACCAGCTCTTCTATTTTTGAAGTAAGTGTTGTAGATCAATGTTGCCACTAGATGGCAAGAGCTGCACATACAAATATTTTTCTGTTTTAAAAATGTATCCACTAATGTAAATTGAATACATTGAAGAAAGTGCAAAAGGTACGCACTGATAAAGAAGCAATCTATTCAAGAGTTAAACTTTTAATGGCATGCTGATTGGAAAATACCTCACTCCAAAAGCTGCTGAAACCCTGGTCCATGCCTTTGTCACCTCTCGGCTGGACTATTCAAATGCCCTGCTTTGCCAGTCTCCCCTACACTACCATCCATAAAATCCAGGTCATACAAAACTCTGCCGCCCGCATTCTCACATCAAACTCCGCTCCCCAATTACCCCAGTTCTTGCCAGACTGCACTGGCTGCCTATCCCAGAGAGGATCAACTTCAAGATCCTCACCCTTGTCTTCAAATCCCTCCACTCCTCTGCACCCCCCTACCCTTCTGACCTCTCTTCACAACAGTGCCTGTTGCCTTCGTTCCACCAGGTCTGGCCTCCTCCTTGTCCCCCGAGTTCTCCGCTCCACCCTCGGTAGCCATGCCTTCAGCTACCACGCCCCGAGGCTCTGGAACTCCCTTACTCCTTTCGCCTCTCCCCCTCTCTTCCTATTTTCAGGTCTCGGCTAAAGACCTTTCTTTTCTACCGCGCCTTCAGTCACCTTCCTCCCCCTCCACTCGGACCCGGGATCTGTTACTGTGAAACGCTCTGAGAAGCCGTCCAGCGCGGAAGGCACTATATAAATCCAAGTTGCTAAGTATTACGGTAATGATAATAGTTATTTCCTTAACATTCTTCCACAAAGCTGTTCAATTCAGAAGCGTTTTCAAAGAATTTCCTTATTTCAACTATATACAGTCCAAAGCACTGGATGATGTATGTATTCTAAATCAGAATTAGAAGTACATTAATGACCTTGTTCTTTAAATCAAAGGCTTACTACAACATTTATCCAGGAGTAGCATAAAAGAAAGAGTAATAGTTAAGTATTATCTTCCAGAATTGTGACAAAGTGCCACTTTTGATAATTGTTGCTAGTCCGAGGTCTTGGAAAACATCTGTATGTCATTTTCCACAAAATTATCCACCATGACAACAGAATATTTTCCACTTGCCAAAGGAACAAATACTGCACTAGCAAACAATTAATAGCAAAAATGCTCAGTTAGGTGCCACAATATGCCAGAAGTTAGATCCTTAATGTTTATTAAGACACATACCAGCAGACTGGTCAAAATATATGAGCAATGGGGGAGGGGGCCTGGGGGACTCATGAAGGGATCCAAAAAAAGAGATTATTTGATGGGATCATCCACATTATGAGTGAATTCCTGTAGTGTGCACTCTGATCCAAGCTTTCACTGCCAGTGATCAAGAGTATCCAAGAACAAAAGTGAAACTGCGTGGCAGACATTGCGTGCAATATATTCTGCTTTATTCCCACATCCAGGTCTGGTACTCATTTTATCTACATTGAAAGAATGGAAGGTTGAGGAAACCTAGAATTTTAAGTCAAGACCCATTGGACTTTAATCTGAATGAACTATCTGACCTGAATGTGGACATGAACATTTTGGTATCAACAAAGAACACCTGATTATAAGTGTTGATGAGAAGCAAGAACTCAATGCTATATCTACCACTGAAATATCCTGGCAAAATATCATAAGATCTTTCAGTGATATTAAATTGTCAGGGAAGTGAAGCCTGGCCTTAAAGAATAGAAAAGTTGAAATCAAACTATTGTAGTGGAGAGAACTAAACAATGGAGATTCTAACACCTTGCAACTACTTTGAAATTCTAAATGGTTTGGGGAACTAATAAGTATGAAATATCTCTTAAGATTAGCATGTTTACAATGTTTTAAGTGTTAAACAATAGTATTGTGCAATAGGTTCTAGGTTTAAATCTAATCTGTACTGAGTTAGATGATCTCAACCAACAACAACTCGCATTTATAAAGCACTGTTCAAGTAACCAGCCAGTAGTTGAGCGTTACAATTGACCTCAGTACTCCAATCCAACAATAAAAATACAAATCAAATTTACATTTATATAGAACTTATCATGCCCAGAGGATGCCCCAAAGCACTAAATAGTACTGGCTGGTCAGTTGAGCTGTGGGTGGGAGCCGAGGTGAATGGGAAAGGGAAAGACGAACGAATGGGCTTGGAAGGAGAAAATAAGCCAGCATTCTCACTCTTGATTGCTATCCTGCCGGAAAACCTATGTGTGGATATGAGTAATAACAAGTTTGGCCTCAGCTGTGATACCTCCAATTGTAGATTAGTTGTCAAAATGATTACAGCCAATAATACTATAATACATTATTCTTGAATAAAATGTACATTGATCCAGGGAATTTTACAGTAATAAATATAATGTTTGTATTTTACAGATTATCTGCATTTGATTAGTGAATTCCTTTTCATTTGATTTAGACCAGAGGTTGCCTGTGCTTGTGTCGTTGAGTACATCTTACATTTTTAGAAATCTTGCAATAGCATAGAAGCTCCTGCTTCTTTCAGAATTGTTCACGTTTTGAAGAAATTAATGAAACATGAAGAACAAATACTTTAAGCATCTTCTGAATATAGTTGAATAATGAATATCTTAGGCACATCTTGACTGTAGATGAATGTTGTGCTTGTAGCAATACCGGCGTAATCTGTAACATGTTGAATGCTTTTATTTTCTGCTAATAAACCCTATTGGAGTTCCATGTGTACAACATGTATAAACCTATTCATATTGTGCACAATGTCTAAATGCAATGTGCACAAAGAGATTTAACCAATGAAACCAGTTGTAGACATAATTCATATTTTTTCATTGGTTATTTACATAATGAATGGGTTGTGTATTCCTCTGTATGTATTCATTTACACCTGGGTTGTGCGTGATACAAATGCATTTGCACATGGTACCTAATAGGCATCATTATCGACATCTGGATTGATTAGGGAGTAAGAGTTCACTGTTTAGTCTGAATTTAATACAGTCGTAAGAATGCACATGTGGAGGTAAGATCTTATTGTGCTTTTTAAATATCTGAGTAAATCTGCATTCTGCGTGTGGCTGGAAACTAATAACAATTCTTGCATTTAATGTAGCTCCTTTCACATTGGAAGGATGCCTCAAAGCGATTCATAGGACTTTACTGTTATTTTGCAGGTCAAACTACTCAAGGTGCACAATTCCTTGACTTATACTTGGAATGCATTTACTTATAGTAAAATGGTTAAATTTGTAGAGAACATGGAAACATGAGCAGACCATTTGCCTTATTGAGTTTTCTGAAAAATTTAACCCAATATCTGAAAGATAAAATTGGTCATTCACTTCATGGCTGTTCACAAATTGGCTTCCTGTTTTCCTACAAAATTACATTCACTACATTTTACATTACTTGTGAAACCCTTTGAGACATTTCAACATCAAAAGCACAAAATATAAACTTAATCCTGCATTTGATATAAAGTTTTTCACACTGAGACAATCTCTGAAGTGCTTTGCAGCTCTTTCTAATATTAAGTGGAAGGAATATTTATATTCTTACACTTGCCTGGATAGTCCTTAAAACTGAAATATGAAATTAATTGCTATATCCTATCACTTTATTGCAAAGTTATTTGAAATACCAAAATGCTTGGCCAAATCTGTCTTGAGAATAAGCAAAATGTTGAAACAGAGTGTAAGTAGATTTACACTGTGTAGTGTAAATAAATTGTATTATACTTGTTGCTAAGATTGTACAACATATAGTGATTCAAAAAAGTCACCTGTTTTATTAACTAGACCTAAAACTTTTTGTATTTTTCTAGCTTCTGTATACAGACAGGAATTTTGTGATTTGTTCCCCAACTGGATCTGGAAAGACTGTGATATTTGAGCTAGCCATTATCAGATTACTGATGGAAGTTCCAAAGCCATGGTCCAATATAAAAATTGTGTACAGTAAGTACACAAGTAAAAGTTTTTATTATTTTCCCATGGTACTGCTGAATTTGTTTATTTTTTTACTAATTTTTTTCATTATTTTAAGCATTCAATTAATTTCAAATAAAGAATTCTGATACATTTCCATTTCCCGGTATTTTGATATTTGCATGAGTGAACCACAAAAAAATTACTAAACAAAACTGAATTTGTTTAATTAATTTTACCTAAAGCAACAGAATAACCCACTTCAACAAGTGAGCTACTATTAATGTGTAACTGCAGCCAGATACTTAATGTTGATGTGTTATGAACTACATGGAAATAAAGAACATTGAATAGATAGAGCAATGAAACCGTGCTGTATAACATCATCAAGATGTCCCAAAGCACTTCACAGGTAAAGTTTAATGACTGTATCTGTAGGTAAACATAGCAGCCAATTTGTGCAAACAACCAGGAAGTGAATGTCTAGTTTTATCTGAGGAATTGTTGGCTAAGACACAGGGAGAAACTACTTTCTCTTTTCGAATAATATAATCTTTAATGTCCACCACAATAGGCAGACAGGACCTCGGTTTAACTGCACGTCTGAAGGACAGCACCTCCGACAATATGGCTGTCCTCAGCATTGGAATGGAGTGTTATTCTAGTTCTAGACTATAAACTCAACGTGGGGTTTTAATGCATGGCCCTCTGAATCAGACAAGAGTGCTACCAACTAAGCCAGGTTATGCACATTTACATAGTCCAATGCTGTTCCTATTTGACTGTTGGTACATGGAGCAATGCTCAATACCTGGGAAGAAAAATAGAGGCATTTAAAATTATATTTTATCTATCTACCTGTCTGGATTTAATAATTTAGTAAAGTAGCTTATCCAGAATATACCTGTTGTACATTATATCTGTTAATGTAGAGACATTTTTCTGGGTGGATTTGATTAGTTTACATTTTAGCTTTAGGTAAAGCTTCTCTCTTAAGTTGTACTGCATTTTTTTAGTGGCTCCAATCAAGGCCTTATGCAGTCAGCGGCATGATGACTGGAAAGCAAAGTTTGGACCTATAGGACTGAATTGTAAAGAGCTCACTGGAGACACAGAGATGGATGAGTACTTCGAGATTTTGGATGCACACATTATCATGACTACTCCAGTGAGTGTCTATAAGAACAGTTAAAAGTAAACAACAATAGATGCAAACAAATCTACCAGTGTACAGGTGTAGAAATGTGTAAAATGCACTGAGAATGTTTCCTTAATCCTTAGAGCATCTGTCGAAACTTAACATGTTTTAGATTTATAGTCAAAGCTATTGCGAGTCAAAACATCCAGATTTTATTATAGTAATATTAACTCACGCATTAATTTAAAAGAAAAAGATTGACCGTTTGTTAATAGTTATGACCCCATGAATTTGAGGTGGGAAGAGATTTGAATATTGGGCAAGGTTATTTAACTGAAAGGACTGCCTGAATAGGACAAAAATTTGATTAATGTCTTTACTCCTGGAAATTAGACTTGTTGCTTATGATGCATTTTACACCTTGATTCATGTCTTTGAAGTAAAAATTGGACATATTGCTTTATTGTAACATCTATTTTACACAGAGTACACTGTTTCCCATGAAATGTAATAATTGTATATTATATTCATATGTGTCAGATTATTTATGCTCTGATTCTAATTATGTTTCAAGGAAAAATGGGATATAATGACAAGAAAATGGAGAGATAATTCGTTAGTCCAGCTCGTTCGGCTTTTCCTCATTGATGAGGTAAAAATCTAAGTTTGATATTTTTAGACATTAAATTGTTCTGCTGATTGTTTTGGGACTTGAATTAATTAAGAAGGCCCTTACCAAAATAAGTCTGGACACTTTGTGTGTAAAAAAAAATTACTCACATAGACGTTTAACACTTGAAATTACAGTGGTAAATGTGACCTTTTATTCTAGATACATGTTGTGAAAGATGAATGCCGTGGTGCAACCCTTGAAGTTGTAGTTAGCAGAATGAAAACATGTCAGTCAGCTACCTTGCGTGTATCACGCCAATCCGATATTGATGCCACATTGAGATTTGTAGCAGTATCCGCAACAATTCCTAATATTGAAGATGTAAGTCTAGTTGATAAAATGTAATATACTATGGTAAAAATAGTAACATTTTGCAGAAAGTTCATGAATATTACTTAAGTTTATTTTTGCATTTTTTATTTTCCTTTCTAAGATAGCAGAATGGCTATCAGATAGAAAAGGACCCGCTGTTTTCATGAAGATGGATGAAAGCTATCGTCCAGTAAAACTACGCAAAGTTGTTCTTGGATTTCCTTTCTCCAATGCTCAAAGTGAATTCAGATTTGACTTGTCTCTTAATTACAAAACAGCTAGTATTATACAAACATACTCCGAACAGAAACCTACATTGGTGGTATTTGTCTTTTTAATTCTATTTCTGGGCTTAAATCTTTCACCGGTAAACTTGTAATTCTGTTTATCAACGGTAATTTTCTATTTTGCAGTTCTGTGCTACAAGAAAAGGTGTGCAACAGGCTGCATCTATACTTGCAAAAGATGCCAAATTTGTCATGAGTATAGAACATAAACAAAGGTAATTCTAAAAATATTTTCTCCTGAACTGTCTTAAGACAAAATTAATTTGAAAGTGAAAAAAACAAATAAAAACAATAATCTTTATACACAACATCACTGTTCTTTTTAAAAAATCAACAGATTGCAAAAATATTCAAACTCAATCAAAGAGTCCAAACTTAGAGGTTCGTATTTATTTTGGTTATGTTTTAAAAAGAGAAATTAATTAAGTCCAATGTTTCTACCAAAATTAAAATATATATATGAATTTTAATAGATTTGTTACTGTATGGAGTGGGTTATCATCATGCTGGTGTCGATCTGTCTGACAGAAAATGCACTGAAGCTGCCTTCACTGCAGGAGACTTACCAGTACTTTGTGAGTACAGTTTCTCATTCCATCTTTAGACTATCTTTAGATTTTTTTCTTGATCAAGTTTGATTTAAATTGATGTACCGCACTGCTACTTGTTCAACCTGCACATACTAAAAAGAATTGCCATTTCTCTTGAGGAAAAATCAACTGGGACAGTGTACAATTAAGAATATTAATCAAGTGGCTGGTCACATGATCATTGCTCTGTTGTGTTACCTATTTCAGCTGATGGCTCATCATAGGCAACAAACCTATACCTAGTGTGTCTCATACCAGACTCTCCATCATGGGTTTTATTTGTTTACTAGTTAGTTACTTTAAATGATCTCTTTCAGACCTTAGGCATGGAGAGGGAATTTTATGTTTTGATGTTTTTTGATTCTTTACTAAGAAATACTTTATTTAGCTCTACAAAAGAGATATCACTTTTATGCATGTAATCATAAATATTGAAATATTATTATTAATAGCATCTTAAGACATTTATTCATCAATTCACATTGATACAACTTGTGACTAATTGTGTGAGATAACCTAAAGTTTATATTTATCAATTACAGTACAACATTTCTAGTTTTTTTTGTTTTAGTTACTACTAGCACCTTAGCTATGGGAGTCAACTTGCCAGCACACTTAGTAGTCATTAAATCCACAATGCATTATGCAGCAGGAATGTTTCAGGAATACAGTGAAACTGATATACTACAAATGATTGGACGAGCTGGACGACCTCAGGTATACTATGACATTATCCATGAATACTTTTATTTCATGTTGTCTCCATTAGTTTATATTTATCCCACTAGTTAGGTCTTCCTTGCGTCACAAGTTTTCTAGATAAGAAAGTGAGCAAATGCAATTCTGTAACATTGTTAGAGCAAGTTAGAGCAGAATTCTGTAATATTTCTAGCACATTCATTTTTGTGATCTATCTGTCATTAGTTCATATCAACTTGCTTCTAACCAACACTTGTAATACACACAATAGAGTAGTTTGCTCATGTCCATCGATATATGAAGAATACTTCAAATACAAAAGTTCTTATAGTTAGTATGTAATGTCATATTTAGTTGCAATTTCTTCCAGTTTGATACAACAGCCACAGCAGTTATCATGACACGGAACCAGACAAAGGACTTGTACACTCAGATGATAAGTGGAGCACAAACCATAGAGAGCAGGTATAAAGATAGATATAACTGATTGGCATGAGTATTTTCCACAAATTTTACCAGAAGAATTAAATAATAAATGATTGAGAATATTAAGAACTCACATTTTCTTTTTTTGGTAGTTTGCACAAGCATCTTGTGGAACATTTGAATGCAGAAATAGTGCTGCACACAATTACCGACGTCAGTGTAGCTTTGGAGTGGATACGATCCACATTTCTTTACATAAGAGCTCTCAAAAACCCAAATCACTATGGTAAGATTCAGATTGTTGCTCATTGTTACAATGTTCTTTGATTTCTATGACTTCAGTATCCATGCTTTAAATGAGTATTGTTCCATAATCAAGTCTTTAATCCAGAATCAAAAAAACTGTTTCAGGCTGCGTATTGTAATTAAAAAACAAACTTTGTATGTTTTAACACTTGATTTATATTGAAACAGTGAATCATAGGTTTGAACCACTGAGAATGCTCATAAGCAGATCCCAGATTGACAAGAAAGAAATGTTTTATTCTATTTATTTAAAAATTGCCACCTGTATTTTTCTTTTGTGGTGTATATTATTCCTTTTCCATGAGGATAAGGAGGCATCCTATTTTTACATATCTGTTGAATTAGCAGAGTTTATTCATTCTGATTTTTTCAAGTTTTCTAGGGAGCAACTAGCCTCAGTTTGACACTTTCATTGGATGGTCCAACTGAATTCAGGATTGCATGGTGCGGGGAATGTCACATCCTGCACATTTTTGGCCAATCAGACTGGCACAATAATAACACATTCTCAGATTGTATTTACTACTTTTAAGATTTGAGTTTTAACAGGCATTAAATGGGCATTAAACCCAATCTACCCAATATATTTGGGTATTTTTAAAATCAACAAAGATTGTGGTGATTTAGGACATGATTTTCATATTTTGTTTTCCAAGATTTTGCTACTGGAATCAATAGAGCTGGAATTGAAGCAAAATTGCAAGGTACTGCATCCTATTTTTACCTGTGAAAACATTCTCCTGGTTTTAATGGACATATTAATATTTTTCAACAATCAACACAAGGGCAGGAGTTAAAAGCCATTCCCTGCTTCCATCGATTGACGAATTGTAAAATAAAAAAAAGGAAAGGGTATACAATACATTCGGATGTCTGCCTAGTCAGTATCGGGGTCCTCATATTTAAATTGCATAGGTAAACGTGGGGAGCGCTTAAACATGATGTAATATTGGATTGATGTTGCCTCTAGGCATTCTTATTGTCACTGTTGGGCTGAGGTAGCATATGATAATGAAAAAGTACATTTTGATGCTAGTATATATGTTACATTAATGGAGATTTGCCAGATGTTACCCCTTGTAGAATGATGTGGAAATACTGCACTAAATGTTAATATATTTGCGTTGTGTCTTTGTGCACTCAATTTTTTTGGAGGATCAGCTCTATTTAATAGAGCTCTATTTAGTTTGGGTAAGGAACAGCACAATAACATGTTTCTTAGAAAGTTTCAAATATTTCATAACTGTCCAGATGAATTTAACTGTTATTGTGAGTAAAAGCTGTCTCATTATTGATGCAGAATTGTGCCTGAAGAATTTGCATGCATTGTCTTCCATTGGTTTGATAAAGATGGATGAAGAAATCAATTTCAAGCCTACAGGTGAAATTGCATTTCTCTAATTACTTGCAAGTTTTTCTTTTTTTTAAACAATTGTCAAAGTAGGCCCCAATTCTGGCTAATGTACTGTAATAATTGTTTTCCTTCTGTTATATTACTTTTACAGAAATTGGAAAGTTGATGGCGCGATATTGTATTGCTTTTGATACAATGAAGCTTTTTCAAATGTTCACTGGAAATGAAACCTTAGCTGAAATGGTAATTTTTTAATAAGCAGAAAATAAAGTCTTAGGTGAATAAACCAACCATTTCAGGTTTCATAGTACTATATTACTATATAGTGTTATATTTTACAAAAAAAAGTTTTATCTTCCAGATGTTAATTGATAATACTGTGGATTTCACCTATTTCATATTGGTATTTCAAAAGTCCAGCATTCAATTTTTATTTTTATCTCCAGTTTGGAAACAATTTTACTGACATATATTTTGTATGGTAGGTCACACTGATTTCTAAATGCAAGGAATTTACAGATGTTCAGCTGAGAGTCAATGAAAAAAAGACTCTTAATACACTAAACAAAGACAAGAACCGAACTACCATTAGGTATGTGTAATTCCTTTAAGATACTTGACTCAAATGGTCATTACTTTTACATGAGAAAAGCAAGTCTAAGAACTCACAAATAACTGTAATTGTGCATAGTGTCATTTGTGATGATATACTATAATCGCCAAAATCTTAGGCAAGTTTTCTTACTCCACACACCTTACCTAGCAGTAAGTAAGAACCCGCTTGTTGTAATCCCTTCAAAAATACAATAAATAAGTAATAATGATGTGGTCACTCAATCCAACACGCTGTGAGACACTTGTACACAATTGGCTGCCACATTTCGCCCACAAAACACACAGTCATTACACTTTACAATATATCCTGTGAAGCGCCTTGTGACGTCTCAATGACATGATATGGAGCTATATCAAATGCAAGGATTATTATACATTTTTTATAATCTGTTATACTTGTTTCTCAGATGACATTTTCTATATATACTTTTATCTGCATTGTTGAAAACTGGTTATAACACAAATAAAATGAATAATGAAAAGATATCGAGAGCTTAATTTATGACATAAAAGAGTTATCATAGTTACATTTGCTGGTGAGAATACACTGTAATACAATTCAAAAGAGACTTATGATTATGACCTATAGTTTATTTCCTACATTTAAGTTTGTAAACAATTCAAATATTTTTAGAAAAATCCATCAGATTATTATAGGAAAAACATCATACAATATTCCTTTTGATAAATATAACCTTTCATAGTTAAATCTCTCTGCTCCAAAATTGCATTGATCTTTTTATTTTCTTCCTTTAATACAGGTTTCCAATGGAAGGGAAGATTCGAACAAATGAAATGAAAGTGAATTGGTACAAAAAAGACAATTTTGATATTCTTAATATCTTATCAATCAGCAGAGAATAATTCCTCATATCTGTTGAACAAATGTTTAAGTTCTTTGTACAGCTGAACCCCATTATAAATCCATTTGCGACAATGGAGTTCACTTGTAACATACGGACCCCAACACTTGCTCACAGGAATTCTTCTTTTCCATCTATTTTAAATTTTTTCCTTCATTTTGTAATCATAAACTAAGAAAAAGGCTGACTTTGGGTCATCAGATCACCCATAATGTCACTTCCTGCATTTTTGGATGGGCAGCGCACACGAAGTTACAATATTGGTGACCTGATTCCCCAGAAGTCGGCCATTTTTTTAACCGTGCAAAAGCTGACGCGCACTACAGTGAACGTGGAAGTGGTAATCAGTGATTTGCGTCCCATAATAGCACTGGTTGAGATTTTATGGACCCCCAACCATCATGTTATAACAGGGCCCCACTGCATGTAGTTCAAAAATATGTGCTGAATTGTATCAATTCAACTGTCATGTGTTTTTTAAAAAAAGCTTTTCATTTTAAATATAATGTGGTATTTCATTACAGTCTAATTCAGGCCCAATTAGGATGCATTTCAATACAAGATTTTGCATTAACTCAAGACACAGGCAAGATATTCAGAAATGGTCTGAGAGTCACCAAATGTAAGCAAATTTGCACTTGTTTTCATTTAGTATTATTATATTTAATTTGTTTTTAAGACCTCTGATTACCATATTAGATGAATAATTATGAAACATTTAAATATTGATTGTAGCTTAGAACTAAATATAAAGATTTTATTGTAATTAAATATTAATAATAATGTGAGGCATTGCTATCTACAATATTTTTTTAAAAGAATAACTTTTAAAATATGTATATTCTTTCCAGTGAAAAATATTTAGTGGCTAAATACTTTTGAATAACTATAAATTAAATATTTTGTAATCGTAGCTAGTTTCTTTTTCTTTATTTCCTTGACAGTTGCTTCAGTTTTCAAGGTAAATGAGAGAGCAGGAACATTTATTTAGTATTTTTTTCATTCATTATTTTGTACACATATTTAATTAATAGGTCTATCTGAAGTGCTTGAACAACAAGAAAAATGCTTTTCAATATTGTTGAATGCGCTGATTCTAAATAAATGTTTTAGAGCTAAACTTTGGGAGAACTCTACATATGCGTCCAGACAACTTGAAAAAATTGGTAAGTAGTTAGTTTATACTAGTACCTTGTAGCATTCTTTGAAGGGATCTATTATGCACATTGTGTCTAAGCTTCTGTGTTGTCTCTAAGAGACTGATTCACCGATTTTATTTTTTAAATAGGCATTATAGTAAAATTTAAGCATGAAAAATAACTTTCTGTGCCTGTTTTTCATCGCTTCCCTGCTCAGTCCTTTGTGAAATGTTAACATAAAGCAATTCTAAAATGTGTTAACAAATGTTTAAATATGATGGAACGAGTAATAATTGTCAACCCATTTACAGGTGCTACTATGTCAAGTGCCATGGTTCATGCAGGACTTACTACATTCCAAAAGATAGAAGATACAAATGCAAGAGAACTAGAGCTGGTAATTCTGGGTCAATTTTTTGTGATATTAATTGCATCATAGTGATTGAACAATAAATAAATTGCTATTGATGCTGGGTGGCACAATCCATTGTCATAATGATCCTTTCAGATCTGGGTTTGACATTCACCAACATAATAATCCTTACATTTGATAACCTAAAAGAACAGATGAAGATTAATTTTCTTTAAAGGTAAATAACAGTATCAAATGAAATTAATTTGAACAGCTTATATCCTATTCCACACATTCTAGAACTATCCAGAATTTAACACTCATTCACATCAGCCTCATGGTCACATTCTGGAAATGAATTGCCATTTGTGGTGTACTGCATTTTCATTCCAATTGCCAGAATAGAATTGCAATTGTAAGAGACATTATGCTGAGTTGTACGGCTTCCATATTCCTTTCCTTCAGGTTATTACATTTAAAATAAATTAATTTGAGCATTTCCCTTTATCACAAAAATAGACCAAATTAATATCAATCCATATTTCAAGAATGGAGCGAATTTTATTCTCTGAACAGATTACTATGTTTTAGAACCTTCATTAACCTTTGTGTGCTATGAACTTATTACTCAAGTCAGGAGTAATATTTCTCTTGAATTGTTAGTGAGTACAATCCTTTAGCAACCTTATTCCTGCTTCAACACTTAAGCATATCAGATTGACTTAGTACATCTGGATTGATCTATGTTAATTGTTGTAATAAATGTTTGACATTTATAAATACACAAAAACATCATTTATAGATTGTGAACAGACACCCTCCTTTTGGAAACCAGATAAAAGAAGCGATTATTCATCTCCCAAAGTATGAACTCAATGTGGAACAGGTGATCTAATTTTTCAAACTTTTTATGTTGTTAAAGGGTCAGTTTCATACTCGCACTGATGAGCATTTCTTTGAGCATACTTGTGAGACATGTGTGACTCATTAGCATTTGTATATTTAGTAAACATTGTATTTATTATATACAAATTTAATTTCAGGTTATTCAGTAGTAATAGAATAATTCATTACTAGAAATTAATTATTAGATAGCACCTATGATATAAACAATATGGATGTGAATTAATACTAGGTTTAATGCAGAATTTATTAATTTTGGAATATTTTGCTTTTGAAGATCGCAAGATACCATGCTTCTGTGTCAGAAATCCTAGTTACAGTCAATTTAACAAATTATGAACAACTTCAGAAAAGGAGAACAGCACCTGACAATCACTTCACTTCATTAATCATAGGAGATGCAGACAATAAAGTTGTTTTCAAACAGAAAATCACGTAAGTATCTAAACTATATCAGGTCACCTTTCATGTAGTATCATCTGGTTGAAAGCAAGGAAAATTACAAGATGTTTGGGTATAAATAGACACCACCATTTTTTGAGAAGAGTAGCACCTATAACCTAAACAATGTTATGGTAGAGGTAGACAATAAAAAGCTTATTGCTTAAATAACATAGTAGTTATTTTGACAGTGGATGGAACACATGAAAGGGAGGCTTGAATTATAACATTTTACTTTTAATCAGGGATTCGCTTTTGCTGAAATCAGGAAAATATACAAAGAAGATTGAAGTAAGAAGAGCCCATAAAGGAGAAGAACTAAGCATTAAGCTTATCAGCTCTGACTATGGTAATTTATGACTCTGTACAAAATACATAGTCACTTTACAGTAAATCATATGAAGTCCTCCCCATGTGAAAAATGCTGTATCAAATCTAGAATCATTTTATTAGTAGTACTTCATTTAGTTCTCAGTTTCTACCACATACTATGGATACCAACTATGAAAAATTATTCCCTTTGAAAGACATTTGAGCCAGAGCCTACTGCGATTTTCCCATCCTGCATCTAGAAAATTGGCTCTTCATATATCACTTTGTGTTCTTTTTCGGTCGTAATAAACATTCATTGTCCACTACATGATAGGTAAATATATGAAGAAGATGTTTCTTTCTTTTCTTTCAAGAGGGCAAAATATCTGTAATTTCCCTTTGAATTTCTGGAATGTTTCCCAGTAATTTTGGTGGATTTGTCTATTTCGTCCAAATTGTAACCCTAATTTAGGCACTCCCAGGTCTTTTGTCAATGATAGAAAAAAGTATCTCTTCATGAGGGGAAACTAATCATTATATTCTATAATGAAATCAAAACAAAAAAAAACTATGGTTTGTTAAAATATGTGTAGATTTATTAAATTTCTATTTGATGGTTTATTTTATATCTAGTTGGTCTTGACATTCAGCAGACATATATAGCCTTTTACTCAGGACCAAAAAGGTTTGGAACTCACCATATTTATGAAAAACATGATATAGAACGTACACAATCAGCAAAACAAAAGCACACAGCAACTCCAACAACAAGGCCCTCTGTTAATGAGACTAAAGGTACCTCTTGAATTATTTCCTGTAAAAAAAAGTTTGAATTATTAATAGCTATTATATAATTTACAGTACTTTGTGTTTACAAAGAATGATCACATGGAAAACGATGAATCATGTGGTATATTAAAGAATCATTGTCGGCTACATATGTGTATGTATTTTACTGTAAAGAAAGGAACATTTGGAAGACTTGTAAATCACAATCTACTACAAAGGGACCTCAAGTACATGATAAGTTAAACTATCCCATAATAATGTCTCCTTTCTTGTCTCTATTTCATCTTTTAAAATACAGGATTATCCAGAGAAAGTACCTGTCCAGAACCTGTAAAACGACTGTGTAATCATTTTTGCAAGAATAAAGATACATGTGGTCATGAGTGTTGTAAGTGCTAATGAATGGGATTTGATAGAGGTTTATTTAGATATTTAATGTAATGAAAATGTTTCAGTATATAGCTATATTTGTGTTCTTCATAATAATAATACTTGCATTTGCATTTTAGATGTTTCAAAGCACTTCACAGATAATACTGTAAAGTGAATTGACTGTGGAGTCCTGTAGCTCAGTGGTTAGAGCATTCGCCTTGCAAGCAAGACACCTGGGTTCAATTCCAGGCAGGGTGAAACCTTGGGCAAGTTTCCTTACTCCACACGCCTAATAATAATCCCTCCAAAAAAACAAAACAATGATAAATTAGTCATTTTCAATCCACAACTGTTTGTGGGACACTGCTGTGCGCAATTGGCTGCTGTGTTTCACCCACAAATAAACGGTCAATTCACTTTACAGCATATTCTGTGAAGCGTTTTGAGACATCTAGAAGACTTGAAAAGCGCTATATCAAATGCAAGGATTATATATTCATGGGCGAATCTTAGAGAGCTGTTTACAATGTTGGCTGGTTAAATAAATACCTTAAATTAAGAAAAAAATTGGGTTCAGGCCGACAAAAGCACTAATAAATTGAGTACCAGATTATGAAATTATTATCAGTCTGCTAAGGGACTGAGCTGGATGACTCAAATATTCTACAAAGTTTTAACGTGAAACTGCAACCTCCCCAGAATGCCACTTTCAGAGGTCATACTTCTAAAAAAACAGATTACTGCATCACAAGCTCATAAGATTCATCTGAATGAAGAAGGCCCTTCAGCCCATCCAACTTCATTCCTGCAGTACACCTACTCTACTGTCCCCCATCACTGCATAAGCTGCTTTTTAAATTAGTCTAAGTGTCCTGGCATTTACCACTTTTACTGGCAATTTGTTCCTGTCATTGGTTACTCTGCATCAAGAAAACTTTCCTGATATCTGTCCTGAACTTGACTTTTACAACTCTAAACTTATGTCCTCTTGATCTACTGTCGTGCTGCATTCTAAAGTGTTGATCTGGGTTTACCTTTTCAATCCCATTTAAAATGTACACTGCTGAGGTCCCCTCTGAGTCACCCTCTCTCAAGACTGATGAACCTGAGCTGTCTAGTTGTTGCTCAGAGCTCATTCCTTTAGCACTGGGGATCATCCTCATTGCAGTGCATTGCCTCAAGGCCTGAACAGCCCTCTTATGTTGTGGTGACCATAACTATGCAGTATTCAAGGTGCAGTCTGAGCAGAGAATTACAGCCTGAGTCTGGGATCTAATCTCTTCTGATTTAGCAAGATAAATCTAACTCAGCACAGGGTACTAAATATATGTACTGTATTATTAGTTGTTCTCTTAAGTTTTTTTTCTAATGTGAGATATCTCCTGTAGGTAAATTTGGTGTGACAGTTGCACCCAGTTCTGCTACCCGTACAACAAAAATGATCTCTTACCTCAGTGATCTTAAAAGCAGAAATGAAACTTTCTCAGCTCCATTAGTCAAACGATTAAAGGTATTCTTTCTAGGCTGTAGTAAAATATCATAAACAGTATTTTATATTTTTAAAGAATTAAACCTAACTAATTAAAAGATTGCATTTTGTCTTTTTTTCTAATAGATGCAGACGTTCAATGAAGCACAAGATATAAACCTTCAACAATTTGCATACACACAAAAAACTCCATTGTCAACATTACCTAGGTAATAATAATAATAATCCTTGCATTTGATATAATTTATGGTAAATGTAAGGTAATTATTTGCATTTATAGTCAGTATTATAAATGCAACTACGGTCTTCCTCCCCCCTACCTCTTCGACCTCATAAACCCATATCAGCCTGTCCGCTCCCTCCGCCCAGCAGACACCAGCCTGCTTCAGGTCCCCCACACTTCCCGCCCCAACATTGGCAATCGGGTATTCAGCATCCCTGCCCCCAAACTATGGAACTGTATCCCGCAATCTCTACCTCATCCCCTCTCTTGCCTCCTTCAAGTCCTGTCCGAAGACCTTCCTCTTCGACCATGCCTTCAACCCTCCTCCCCTTCTGACCCCAACTCCCAGCTCAGGTCCAAAACCCCTGATTATCCAGTGCCCTGGGGCATGAAGGGTGCTATACAAGTGTAAATTGCTGTATTTGATGTTCCTTTTATTGTATATTTTTTAAGGACAAAACCTAGTCCACCGGCTAAAGCATGCAAGAGGAATCAATTTGACATCAAAGCTCACCAACAGGAAGAATATAACCAAGGTGGGTTTATAGATAATGGGAAACAATTTACATACTGATGGGGCGAGAATTATCCCAGTGCAAACACATTCATAGTTAGCAATGTCAATTTGCTATGACCAAGTGTAGGTGATTATATCAGTAGTAACATTTTAAATAGAGGTTGTTGCAAGTGAATTGAGAAATAACTTAATTACTGAGAAATTAATTCTGTGTCCCATCTATGCTACATTTTGTTTAGTGGAGAGTAGGAGAGTCTGCTGTATGTAGATATTTCCAAAGTTATAGATTATTTGCAGAGTTTCATTTTTAATTATGGGTAAATAAGTTTTAATGAAATATCAATGAAGAAATCACAACTAACAAGGAGAAAACAAAAACGATAGCCCTATACATATTACTGGGGAAAACTCCACCACAATAAAGAAATCTTAACTAGCAATTCTTTTTTATTTTCTATATAGTAATAGCATTTTATTTATTTGACTTCTTAATTGATAAATATGCTTTCTGTGTGTACTATTAGAACTATTGTTTTTATACATATTCATTTAAACAAGAGTTGTACAAGGTTTGCAAGTTTTCTTGAATTAACTAACACTACACGTTCCAGGATACAATTCACATTACATGGTACTAGCTGATATTTACGAATTGAAGTACTTTTAGACGGTGTTATTTATTAAGAAGTGCTTTCAGATTAAGTACAAAAAGCAGAGCAAGCATTCAATCGCAATGAAATGTGTCACTCTGAGGCATTTTATAGCAGCAGAGTAGTAGTATTAGAAGTTTGGGAGCTTACAGGCTGTTCACTGTTTTGCCTGGAGAATGGTGTGCATAATAAGGGCATTTTTTTTTAATTCTTGGTAGAAAAACAGTATTTTAATTGTTAACATTTTTCATTATGAAAACATTCTACAGCTTTATCCCAACACAATTCATCTGTCATTCCATGGTGTCAAGATACACATGATTCTTTCAACTGCAACTCAACTGATGCAAATGAGAGTGGCTATTGGTCGACTGAAGGGACGAATGTGAATTTTGAACTAGGAGATGATGTGTGGGATGATTTTGACGATGAAAAGCTTCTACGTGCTAGCAGTTTTGTTGGTGAAGAGGAAACCAGTTTTAAATCTGAAACAGGTATTATTACAACAAAGATACGGGTCGCGGAATTTTGTATGAGTTTGACCTTGTGGGTGGTGGAACCAGTTTGTTACAGACCATATATGAACTTGTATTGCTGCAGAAAAGATTGCCACATATTTCTTGTGTCTAAATCAGCCTCAGATTTACTAATGTTATTTAAAGTGAGAAATTTACCTTTTAAAATATATTGTACTTTATATTGTATTATATTATTTGAGTGGTGATACCTTGCAATTATGTTTGAAGGTACACATTAGTGATGAAACTTCAGAATGACACTGAACTAATTTTTCCTTGAAGTAGTGAATCGCTGGCATCCTAAATCTAATTTAAAAAATGATGTAAATCTGTTGATCAAATGTTCTCTATTTTGCTTTATTTAAATAGGTTCTTTAAATGAGAAATATCAAGTCTTAACAGAGTTCAACATATTGCCTAAAGGTTCTTTAGATATTTTTCAGACCCAAATGATTAATAACAAATCCAAAGGGTAAGTTTTACAAAATAATACTGCTGATTACTCTAGATGAACATATCAATAATTATCAATAGTTTCATGTGTATCATTTAAATAAAAAAAACACAGAACTAAGTGTATTTACATTTATATACTTAAATAAACTAAATTCCATTTTTTGTTTTGGATGTAGCTACTATGAATATATTATTCATGTTTTTCTATCATTGTAAATGTTAACATGGATTTAAGTGCATCTAAGAAACTGAGTGGATTGTGGATTAGGATACTGTCCTTTCAGCCTTTGGTAGCTGGACTCAAATACTGCCTTGTTTGATATATTGAAAATCTCTGCAAGCTTCAAGGGGGAAGTGAAAATCTGTATGGGTAATCATCACAATTGAAAATCAAAGAAAAATTGGAGAAGAATTAAGAAGCACAGTCCAGTAAAGGGTTAAAACTAGAACATTTAAGTAAAAATAAATCTTTCATGCAGTTTAATACTTCTGTTATACATAATGCATATTTTAATACAATTTGTCATTGATTTCATAGTGATATACATCTACCAAGAATGGAACAACAATGCTTGAATTCTAGATTACCTTTAAACTCATCAGTTAAAGAAACAGTAAGTTGTGACAAGAAGATTAATGAAATGCAACAGACTACAAACAAGGAATTTCCTTCAGTGTCCAAAGGATGTAGATATGAATCCTAGAATTATTTGTCACTGTTCTAATGTATATAATGCTGAATGGGATAGAGAAAGCAAATCGAAAACAGAACTTTCAGATATACAAAAGGACACAAGTTCATTGTTGTAAAGAACAATTTAAGACTGTCACCAGGAAATATTTCATTACACAAAGGGATTAAATAATAAATATCTGGAACAAAAAGGTGGTATTTTTTAATCAAAAACGAGTGATTCCTTTAACTTTTATTAAATAAACACATTAAATGTAATACAGTATATGCTGTGTATCAAGACTCCACAAATAGATTTAGAGGTAAAAACAGTTTTAAAAAGGTTATATAATTACATAAATTGTCTAACCATTTATGAAGAATGTTTAACATTGTATTACTAAAAATGTTTAACTTTATACTGCAGCCCACTTTCCTTGAAACTATTGATCACACAAGACGTGTGAACAGCTCAGAAGAAGTATCGACTTCTACATCCAGCCACCTAAAGTCATTGAATGTTACCAAAGGCAATGGACCATTAAATTGTTTCTACCAGTATAATACCAACACTGAAACAGGATCCAGGTGGGACCTTAGTATATCATTAAAATAAACATTTTAGGATGGAAATTAGTAAATTAATTAAACAATGCACCTGAAGAAGTCACTTACAAAATTTTGATTATATTATTTTGCATTTGACTCTTTTGTCTATTTCAGATGTCATTCAGAAGAAGAATGTAACGCTTTCATTGGCATTTTTGATGGCATATTTTAGAATATCATTCACTTGATGAAACTACAACCTTTGGAACAACAAATATGTTTAGAGTGTTATATGGCAGAGGATTGTAATTGTTTACCCTTTTCCAGAAAACAGGGATTAACCTTTGCTAATTGCTAAATTAAGTTTATACTCACAATGTTACAAAAGTAGAAAATTCCATTATGAATACCTATTGAAAGGTTCTCCATTTTATTGGTAAATGTAGATTAGTTTCCAATACTAAAGTCAGAACAAATCTTAAAGCAGTCTGTTATATTTTAAACACATAAAATATTGTTTGCTTGATTTTTAATGTGATTGTAACAAATCAATATTTTGTCTGGTGTTCAAAATAAATCTTTCATTTTCTGAGTTGAAAAGATGAGTAATATAATTTACTAAACAATTGTTTTGTTATGGTGAAAGAACAACTTCAGTCAGGTGGTGTGAAGGAACCATTTATTTACAGAGTAACTAATGGGTTGTCAGCAGCAGCTAATGGGAACAACAAACATAGCGCCCTCCGTGGACAGCGTCTCAGAGCGCTTTACAGTAACGGATCCCGACTGAGAGGAAGGTGACCAAAGGTGCAGTCGAAAAGAAAGGTCTTCAGCAGAGACCTGAAAATGGGGAGGGAGCGAGACGAAGGGAGTGAGGAAGGGAATTCCAGAGCCTCGGGGCATAGTGGCTGATGGCCCAATGAACCAATGTGTTCCTTACAGTGTGGGAAAACCATCATATGAGTGAATCCGGAACACTGCCACATAAGACCTACTGACCAGTTTCACTTCAATCCACGACTGGCGCGCGGGACGCTGCTGTGCGCAATTGGCTGCCGAGCCCCGCCCGCAAATGTACAGTCACTTCACTCGGCCGTCTATTCGGTGAAGCGCTTTGAGACGTCTCGCAGACGTGAAAACCGCTGTATCAAGTGCAAGGATTATTATTATTATTATTATTACATTGTCATGGGTGGAGGCCCAGATTTGGGGGATTTAAGAACATCCTCCGAGTTAGAAAACGGTGTCCCAGTTTGGGAGTCGGGGAGGGGGGGGGGGGGGGGGAAGTTTTCTGCGAGAGCTTTAAATCGGGGGCCGCTCGAGAAAGGGAGTCGCTGAAGGCCGCCGCCAAGTTAGAAAAAAAAAGTGCAGCTCTCAACCGTCTCGAGGGGGGGTTTCGAGCGACGGCAATTCAGTTCCTTTTTCATAAATAACAATAACGATACGAATATTAACAACAAACCCGTTGTTTTTTTTTATTTCCCCCCTCAAGCGGGTCGGTCGGTCGGTCGGCGTCACCCTTGCCGGTCCCGCGCATGACGTCACCGCGCCGCCCACCCGCCCCGGAACCTGCATGAACTCACTCACTCAGCAGTTTCTGCTGGCGTCTGCTGTGCTCTATGCAGGTTCCGGGGCGGGGGGGGGGCGGCCGTCGCCGTCGCCCGACGTCAGTTTCGGCGGGGAGTTTGTTGGCGGGGGATGCGCGCCCTGGAGTCGTCCGGCGCCGCGGGCCCGGCCACGGCGTTCAGCTGAAGGGCTGCCCTTCACGGTAAGACTTCACGGTAAGTCTCTCTCTCTCTCTCTCTGGACGCACCGTGTTTGCCTCGAGAGATGTCGTCCGCTGTCGCTCGCGCCTTTTGAAGTGTGTGTGTGTGTTGTGTGTGTGTGGCACAAGGCCGCGGGGGGGGGGAGGGAGGGAGGGTGGGGGGTAAAGTTAGGCCATCGCCCCGACCTCGGGCCCCTCTGCGGCCGGACACTCACTTCCCCACCGCCTCTCACTCTCACTCCACTCCCGGTGCGAGAGGAGCAGAGAAACAAGACGTCTCGACAAAGTGAGGAAGAAATCAATGGTGTCCCCCGTCCCCCGTCCCCGTCCCCCACACACCTTTTTTTTTTGCGCGCGTTTTGACCCGAGCGCCCGATCTTTCCGCGAATGTTTTCAGAAGTGTGAGAAGCCGCGACGTGCGGGAATCGGGGAAAAGATCGTGTCTCCGGGTGACTCGGCGAATGTTTCTTCTCTTAAAAAAAAATGCGACAGTCCTAACTCTACTTACCGCGGGGACGGAAAAAAAACTTTGATCACTTGGGACGACGTCCTCCCTCCCACTAACTCCCACTAATAACAAGGGAGGTTCTTCCAAGGCTAATAATAATAATAATAATACTGTGCTTGTGTTTATAATAATAATAATAACCTTTGCATTTGATAGAGCGCCTTATCACGTCGTCGGGACGTCTCAAAGCGCGTCACAGAATATACCGTAAAGTGGATTGACACGAGTTTGTGGACGAAACGCAGCGGCCGATTGCGCACAGCGGTGTCCCACAAACAGTCGCGGATTGAATGACCCAATTTTTTTTTTGAACCCAGGAAAGCGATCCATGTATCGACTTACTGCTCGTTAAACAGAAGACTTAAGAGTAAGGAAACTTGCCTGAGGTTTCGCCCCGGCCGGGCGCGAACCGCTGCGCCGCAGGACTCCACAAAATACATTTAATTTAGTACCTTTCACCATCCTGCCCGCTCGCTCTGCTCAGCGGGCTCCAGCCTTCTGCCACTCTGCCCCTACCCTCTGGAACTCCATCCCGCTGTCCCTCCACCTCGCCCCCTCCCTTGCCTCCTTCAAGACCCATCTCAAGACCCTCCTCTTCAACCGTGCTTTCGATCTCCCTGCTTCCCTCCATCCTCCCCGATCCCGACCCCTCGCTCAGGTCCGAAACTCTTCTCTGTCCAGCACCTTGGGACGTCCTTCCAACGTGAAAAGCGCTATACAAATTTAATTTTGTTATTGTCATTGATTCACGTCTCAGAGTGCTTCACAGTAACCTACTGGAAAGTGTTGTGATTTTTGTAGCTGAAATTGATCATCCATAGAGGGGTGTTGTATGCATAATGACTTCCACATTTCCCTAAAAAAACAGTCACTACACCTGGAAGCAGTTACTTGTTATTAAGTGCTAAATTAAATGAAAGTATTATTACAGAAAGAATATTATCACGTTTTAGGCTGCTGCCACAATTGATATGTACATTTCACCATAACACTTACAATATATATGATGGTCCAAAAAAGAAATTGGACACATTTGACCCTGATACTGACTTCACCCCTGAATATGACAGCTTGATTGATTAACAAATAATAATAGATGCAATCTTTCCTGATTGTTTTATTAATTTACAGTGGAGTCCAGTAGGTCAGTGGTTAGAGCACTCGTCTTGCAAGCGAGAGACCTGGGTTCGATTCCCGGCAGGGCAAAACCTTGGGTAAGTTTCCTTACTCCGGACGCCTGATAATAATCCCTCAAGAAAAAAATAAGAATTTGGTCACTCAATCCATGACCGTTTGTGGGAGACTGCTATGCGCAATTGGCTTGAAGGCTTAGTTGAGGAAGGGCAGGAGGAGGCTCATGTGGAGCATAAACACCAGCATACACCAGTTGGGCAGAATGGCCTGTTTCTGTGCTGTATATTCTAATGTACTCAATTGGCTGCCGCATTTCGTCTACAAATATATAGTTAATTCACTTTACAGTATATTCTGTGAAGCGCTTTGAGATATCTAGAAGGCATGAAAAGTGCTATATCAAATGCAAGGATTATTATATTTAATTTAGACTAAGTGATCATGTGTAGTAGCATTTGGATAAAAGTCCTAACACGTTTCAAAGATGAAAATTGATAATTCAAACCATTATGTAGAATTGAGACAGTTAACATTTAATTGGCTGGGTATTCCTGCATACTTGCTGGCACGGTACTTTTCCAGATTTGACAGTTCCAGATCTGCTCCCAGATGTCCGCACCGTTAAACTTAATGGACCCATTTGGCGCAACTGGTTCCTCTGTAACAGCTTTAACCAGATCAATCCATTGCAGGAGGAGGCAGATCCCATTTGTATTAAATGGATTTGTTGCTGAAGGACAAATATACACTGTGTGGCTATGGTTTTTTTCCTATCTATCTAGGGAACTACTTTGTTTAAATCTGCTGCTTTTGTATTTTTTATATAACATCTGCACATGATATAACTGGTATCCAATGTATTTTTGTCAGGCCTCCAAAATCCTTTTGGGCTTTTCTGTGCCTTCAGATTTGATTTCATTGTTTTTAAGGAAGGAAATCGACTAGAATTCTTTCATGGATTTCTAGATTCTGATTGCTTAGATGTGCTACGGTAGGTGGGATGATCTTGTGTGAACCTGTAAAGTCTGTATGGTGCAGTAAATAGGAAAACTATTCTTCCACTTCTCAAACCTGGACTTGATTCCAGCCAAGACCAACGGGATGAACATTTTTTTTTCTGTCCACTAGCTTAATGGTGCTATGTGAAATGAGTTCTGGCTATTTAATCTGAGTCCTAGTGGTTGTGGATTCTGAGCACAAACTGCCCTAATTTAGCACTTGTTGGCAATCTCACTCAAAACAGGACCAAGTAAGGCCCTTATGGGAAATGGAAAATCTCACACTGGTGCAGCAGGAGAATTATTTTGAGACTGGAAAATGGAGGAAAAGAGCTTTATCGTGATTCTGCACCAAGAGTACTTGTGCTGTGGGAAAGTACATTTCCAAGGCTATCATTCTCTTTGACCACAGAAGTTCAACCTATTTTTTAAAAAAAGATATGACTTCACCTAACTCCACCCAAAACTGATATTTAAAAAGTTAGTTCTGGCAGATGTTTCATTGTAATGTGTTTTCAATTCATACTGTTAGGCATCATAGATTTTTTTTTAAGTATGGTTGCAGTTAAAATAGACTTGATAGGAATTTTATGGCATAACACCACTCCTTAAAACACAAATTACTAAGAGTCTAATGTAGATATCTTGATCCAAGCTTTGCCTCTCTTGGAGAGGCATCAAATGCATTTATTTGGGTTCATGCATTAAATTATCTTTAATTTTCGTAAGGTGAAGCACCACGTGGTGCTGATTTGATTGCAAATGTGCAACAATGCCCACACAAAAACCATATAACACACTTGCATTTATTATTGCGTTTTTTAAACTAGGGCGAAAGGGCAACTTTTTTATGCCTGTTAAGCCAAAAGTAGTGAATGTGTGTGTTTTAGTGATTGCTATAGTTGATTGCAGAAATATGATTGTTTCCAGATTCAGGATATTATGTAGACATTGTTTAATAGTATTCTGAAGTTTAGCCTAAATGTATTAATTCTTAGATTTTGAGAATTGCTTTAAAAAGCGGAAAAAAGGCAAATGTTGGTTCTACCGAATCAACAAGTATTGGGGGCATTAAATATTTTTACAGTATTCCATTTTTTGCACTGTCACACAAATTCACAATTTTACAATGATACAACATAGATCCCAGATGTGAATGTTGGATGGAGACAGGATTGGGCGCAGTTGTGATGCCCCTGCCAACACTCGCTGTCAGGCTCACACATGAATAAAGGCAACTTGTAATGAGGTTACTGGAGATTTCATGTTGCCTGTGGAACCATACTCTAGTGGATGGTAAAAAGATTCAAATGCTTTCAGGGGGCAAGTAAATTGAACAAAGAAAAAAATGAAGTACTAAAGCTATCAAAAAGGGAAGATTTGTTTGTCTTTAATAAAATAAAACATTGTGTTGCAAAATTCTGAGAGTTGAGAGACCTGGCAGGGTTGAAGACTATTTATTGATTGGGCCCGGCAGCCATAATATGGGCTAACAAGGATGCTGCTACGGAAGATATCTGCAAAGCAAGCAATATGATGTGTACACTTTTTCAATATTGTCACCAGGTTGGGTGGTGATATATTTGTGTGGTACATAAACACATCCTGAAGAAGGAAAAATAATTTGAGGCAAATTTGGTTAATAACATGACGACGTTTTAAAAAAACATTTTTTAAAGGAATTCCAGTCAGACACATGCCAGTTAAAATGGTCTTAAGAGATGATGTGAAATCTAAGAGGAGTGCAATTTTTTTCTTAAAATAAAAACTTCCCAAGAGTTTGATGGTTTTAAGTTATTATCCATTCTATGTGTAAGAGAACTGTAACTATAAGGGGTGACAAGTGTAATAGTTCATACATGGTTTTCTAAAAGACTAGACAAGTTGACAAGGTCTGTTTTTTTTAAAAAAAACCTCTCTGTGTATTACATTATAGTGTTCAACTAAATATTACTAGTTTACACAGACTTCTTGTGTATAGGAGTTTTAGCTTAACTGGTTTAAGAGATTTTAAAGAAAGGTTAGTTGTGTTTTGTGCCAAAAAAAGGTGGTTTTGTCATCACGTCTTGTGGTTAATCAGAGTTGCAATGGCGGAGGCTTGAAGGCGGGTAATCTGTTTTGGGTTTAGGATTGGTTGTGCTGATGGGACATTAAAAACAGTATTATTGGTGAGTGGTGGAATACTCACTGGGTTGGTTCGCACATTATTCTTTCACCTTTGGAATGTGGAGTGGAATCCAGCCCAGGCTGGTGGAATAAAAGTCTCCATTTGTTCAGTTAGAACAAAATGTATTTGGGCGGTTTCGTCTCCCCGAATTGCCGGTGGCAACCAGAAAGACAAAAAGGGAATATTGCATAAAATGCAATTCCCACAGATGCAGTAGGAGGAGCTCCGGAGTTAAAGCAGATGACAAGGCAGCAAAGAAAGATTTGCATATTGTTTATCTGCATCTGAAATATTGAATTGTAGGTAAAATTGTCCTAGCTCTCACTTCTAATGCAGGTCAGATTAAACTGTGTTTGATATTTCCAGTTGTAAACCACCTGCAAGATGTATTGGGCTGTTATCACATTTTTGATTTTGTAATTTGAACATTCATACTGTAAGGTAAACCAAATGTAAAGATAGATTATTCTGTTATTAGAAAAATATGCCTGCTGTATCTTTCAGACAGGTTAAATGACCATCATCTCACTCTGTTTACAAACTATTCTATTTGCTGTTCATTGGAAACAACAGGAAATAAAGCAGTTGATTATATTTCAGAGAGACCAGCTGCTATAGCACTGAGTTTCCAGGATAGCCAAGTTCAACTCCCAGTCTCAACTGACCACTGTATTTCAGTTTCCCTCAACGGGCCAGTTTGTCCTTCGCAGCCAAGCCATCTGTGGAAGAGTGAAATGGGTACAGAAGGATGAATTTCAGAATTGCTTGTGGCCAGAAAATTTACTTGTTGCAGGTCACAGAGAGTGATTCATGAGTTGAGTTTTGCAGTCCATAGAGAGTAACTCATGAATTGGGTTTAAGTGTAATCCCTTTTCCTCTCACCCAAGAGAATTGGTGTAGAAATTTGCTAAATTAGCCAAGTATCAAGGATAACCAGAATTTTCCATTGGGAGGTAACCTGGATGCAGTAGAGTCCATGATGCATTATGCATCATCTCTCTGATAGGACCAGATTGATGTTTGTGTTCTTTTTTGGACCTTATTTAATTTTCCTTCAATTAACCGCAATATAGAAATCGTGCCCCCAGGAAGGTACTGTACAGTACTTAAATTAATGTGCTACCAAAAGTATAGCTAAAATAAATGTGTTTTCAAATGTTTTTGTGTTGCTTCCAGACTGATTGTCTTTAAAGTAATTGGGAATGAAGAAGACATCAGTAACTAATAATAATAATAATCCTTGCATTTGATATAGCGCCTTTCACGTCCGGAGGACGTCCCAAAGCGCTTCACAGAACACACTGTAAAGTGAATTGACTGTATATTTGTGGGCGAACGCGGCAGCCAATTGTGCACAGCAATGTCCCACAAACAGTCGTAGATTGAAAATGACCAATTTATTATTGTTTTTTGTTTTGGAGGGATTATTATTAGGCTCTGTGTGGAGTAAGGAAACTTGCCCAAGGTTTCGCCCTCTGCCTGGAATTGAACTCAGGTCTCTCGCTTGCAAAGTGAGTGCTCTAACCACTGAGCTACAGGACTCCACGTCCTGGTACATTAAGCTTAATGTGCTATGAGATACTCTTAGACTATAATTCTAGTAAAGTTGAACCAATACAAAACATGTGTTCTGTCAGAGAATAAAACAGATTTCTCATTCCCAGAAACTGCTTTGCATTTACAGCAAAAAACAACTACAACCAAATTACATTTATATAGCGCCTTTCACGTTCTGAATAATCTGCAGCTAGTGGAGGGAGATGTTGGGAATCCAGTGAGCAGGGAGTTAGCGTAGTCAAGCCTGGATGTGATGAATGTAAAACCAAAAATAGAGTACTATATTGAGCTTAATGAATAAACCTTTTCCATTAAATCTGTTGTTTTACCTTTAGTTTATACTGTAAACTTTGTTTTTTCACAGAAAAATACCATGGCTTTGAAAAGCACAGTGAAAGGTAGTACGCACTCAAATGGCCAAATAAAGGACAAATCTGGTAAAGAAAATGAAGGTGGTTTAAAGCTTTCAAGTAAGTATGGTACAAAATGACACACTTCTGAGAATGTTTTTTTGTTTCAAGGATTGTGATGCTGGTGTATTTTCTGGTTATAAACTTGTTCGATGTTCTACTTAACCATGTTAAATGTATCCTTGAAATTTCCCAAGGGAGTGCTCAACCCTGTGCAGCAAATAGCCAGAAAGAGGCTATAATAAGTGGAACAACAGATTATTTTGGCAATCATAAGAATATCACAGAGCATCATGCCATGGGTTCTGTGAGCATGTTTGCAAGCCTTGCACCTCATGCCCGTGAATGAGAGCCTCTTTTGTAGCTGATCCAAAAACTGGTAGAAACTATTTCCAAGCAGAATCAGGACTCAATTATTTTTTGGGATGGGTTGAGGTGTGCAGTTTATTTTTTATAATATTTTAAGGATAGTTTGATTATGCACCTCTCTGTGCCCAAAGCTGATCTGCAAAAAGACAAAACTACTCAACAGATTAAGTTACCTGCCCTCTGCAGATTTCGACATGTTGCAACTACATTTTTCAATTTTACATTTTCCAGCGTATCAGAGAGACAAGATACTTAGGCTCATGCTAAAAGTAAATGTATACAAAGTATTTTTTCATTCCGTTTAATTTAACTGTTTATTTTAGATAGATATATGACATAGATATTTAAACTTTCTACTTCTAATGTTTTGTTAAGTGTAGCATCTGTAAAGCAATCTCATGAAGGATATATACTTAATTGATTTCACTTGTAAACTCAGAATCTGCTTTATCGTTTTGAATGTGTTTGCAGAGATTAAGATGTTTGTAGTACACTTTTGTTTAATTAACTGCACAATGAGAACCTAGAATGCAAACGGGAAGTTAAACAGATAGATAATAAATTAATGGAATGGGTTATGCAAAAAAAAACTCGCATTACAAAATACAAAGCTACCAACAACAGACCTTAGATTATTTTTGATTAAATCACCACCCCTCAATCATACCTAATACCACTTTTAATACATTGGTCGGGAGAAAAGAAATATAAAAGGAATTTGAAATGGAATTATTGGCTTTTGACCTCAAGACATTCAAAATGATCAGTTAAAGGATCATTACCTTTGTGGTGTCAAAATTGTGTATTTAGAGCACAATTTTAAAAGGAACTTTATGTTTATGTTGTGGATATCCAGGCAAAGGGTTCATTATGCAAGATTCACAGCTTGAACCTCCTCAACAAGAGTTATAATCTAAGATGTTCTTATTGACATGATTTGAGAGTTCTTGAAAAGGCCAATGTCACATCCAGGTTCAATGCATAGAAGATTAACTTCAGAAATTAGTCATGAGAATAGTGGTTGTTGTTGAAAGAATGACTGTAGTGTTGAGAGAGAGAGCCGTCCCGAAGACCTATGAAAGTTCAGTAGTTTGGAGAAACAGCAGGAGTGAGCAACCTTAATAGTTTCATGCCTGATAGCCAAAAGTGCATGACGTCTGGACTCAAAGTACCCTGTCATATAATTTGACCTGACCCAAGTTGACAAAGTGTTATCAGTTTCTGTTATTTTGTTGTATGGAATAGTGCATTCCATAACTTGAATTATTGCTCCCAAGCGTTGAGCATCAGAACCGAACCAGAAAGTTCTGGGTTCAAATCCCGGTGATGCCACACCGGGATTTGAACAAAGTGTACAATGTGTAAAAATATATTTGATTGGGGGAGGTAGAGAGAGAGGAAAGAGGAGGTGGTCACTGAGGTCTCCTTGTGATTCTGTGTGTGTGTGTGTGTGTGTGTGTGTATGTGTGTTTGCTTGCCACTGCATTTTTTAAATGATCAAAGGAATCCAATAATTTTTCTATTTTAGCGGAGATTAAAATGGATATCGACAGACTCTATGAAGCAGTACCGCAGCTCTCCAAAATGTTTTTAATTGAAGACAAAATTGGTGAAGGTGGGTTTTAATTGCAAATATTTATAAACTATAAATCGACTTGCAGTAAAGATCTTGACTTTTATGCTCTTGATGTCACTTTCTGAGATGCTGCAATGCAAACAGTCTCCTAACGTTCAGTTCCAAACAAAGCCTTTTATGGGAACTGTTTTATAGACTGGACGCATATGCTGCAAGTCTACATCAGGGTTTATTGAAGAGGAATGGAGAGTTTGAGATTTGGCAGACACAACACTTGTTTGTCAGTATGTCAGAGCAGACTAGCTGCATTTGTGTGAATAATGCTTTAACATTAATATAAATATTGAAAAATTCACATTTTATCATTTTTTTTTGACTTGACAAAATGTTTAAGTTTTCATGATGCTGACAATCCCTAATACACAGTCAATGTCAGGAACACTCTTACGGTAATATGAACCTTATACAATTAAAATGTCACAATTAAAAAAAACTTTAAAGTACTTTTTCTGTTTTCTTCCTTCTACCTCACATTGTACATTTTAGAATTGGAGATTTTGCTTTTTTAAAAATAGCATTTTGATGAACTTCTTGGGCCCTTGTATTGGTTGATCTAAAGTCAGAAGGGTGAAGATAATAATAATAATAATAATCCTTGCATTTGATATAGCGCTTTTCACGTCGGGAGGACGTCCCAAAGCGCTTCACAGAATAGACTGTAAAGTGAATTGACTGTATATTTGTGGGCGAACGCGGCAGCCAATTGCGCACAGCAATGTCCCACAAACAGTTGTAGATTGAAAATGACCAATTTATTATTGTTTTTTGTTTTGGAGGGATTATTATTAGGCTCTGTGTGGAGTAAGGAAACATGTGTATCGCTCTCCATCTCTCTTACTCTCTGTGTCTCTCTGTCTCTGAGTCTCTCAGTCTCTTTCATTCTTTCTCACAGTGTCTCTCTCTCTCTATCAGTCTCTCCATCTTTCTTTCTTTCTTTCTTTCTTTCTCTCTCTCTCCCTCTCTCTTTCTCTCTCTCTCGAAAGTACCCATTACATTGCAGTGAGTTGGGCAGACCGGTGGCAGATACAGTTAAACGGAAGTCAGTGACTGTTTGTCATATCTTGCATCCAGGTCACTCTGCGCTGTGTTTGTATGTGTCAAAACAGGGAGGGACTGCTGATGAACTACTTAGCAGTGATAGTAGAAAGAGTGTGCTCCAGAGGAGGAACTTTTCTATACTTCACTAAGAGTTAATATATTTCAAACATTCTGTTTTTGTTTAAAAAATGTGCTTTCACCACCTCAAAACTCTAATTTAATTACCTGAACATTGAGGGTTGCTCTGTGGTTTCCATTTCATTCCAGGAAGAGTTTTTGCTTTGTATTATTTTTACTGATACTGGGTAAAGATTTTAATAACATCAATAAACAGTGATAGAGAGAGAGACTTTACTGATAAATGCTATTATAGGAATATGTTATTGTTTTTGAAACTGTATACAGTATTTGATAACACAGAATAACCCAAATCCTCATCTATTACACTATCATTTCATAGCATACATTTGTTTCTTTTTAGTGCTTAAGATATTATTGTTTTTGGATTATATAACAGAAATACTGTTCTAGCAAAAGATACCTGCTCAAGCTGCGTATCGGCATTCATAGCACAGCTAGTTAATTTGGCACCAAGCTTTGTAAACTGTTCAGTTTATGGCCTCCAATATTTCTTTTTGTGTGGCATGCAAAGTATGTGATGTTGCTTTTATCCCCTGTTGTATATAATGCTGCACTGATATTTTTATGCTACGTGCTTCACTCTGAATGTCTTTTCTCTGCTGACAAATGTATAACAATATATTTCAGCAAGCTGCTCTCATTTTAGAAAACGTTTTAAGTTTCCATTTTTGCTCCTTAACAAATTATTTTAATCCTTCCTCAGGCACATTCAGTTCTGTGTATTTGGCCTCAGCTCAGTTGAAATCGGGACTGATAGAGAAGTTTGCTCTTAAACATTTAATTCCCACAAGTCATCCAGTACGAATTGCTGCCGAACTTCAATGTTTGGCAATTGCTGGGTCAGTATTAACATTTCTATTTTGTCATAACTTTGTTGAGAGTCTATTGTGTTTGTGAAAAGCCACAAAAATAATTTATTTGTCAATTCATTCTACGATTAGCAGCCAATTACCACATTCTTGGTGAATTTAATATGTAATTTCAAATAGTGATAATATGCTCTTACAAGAATGTAATCAAAGTGAAACAATTCATAACATTGGTTACATTTTAAACTCAAAAGTTTGCACTTGAGGTTTGTCTTTAGTGTTCATCTATGCTTACATTGTGTAAGAGATCATTTAATTGATATTTTCCAATTGAAAAGTGAATCTTTTAACTGCATATTTGAATGAGCTTGTTGTTGGGTTTGCTATACATTGTTTATTCATGTAAAAAAAATACATGAAGAGTGCAATGTTATAATTTCTGAGCCAAGTACTGTTTAATAACCACAGGTAACGTTTCTTGACTTGTTAACTCCTGGGAATAAAATAGTTGAATTTAATACTAATCAAAATGTTCTATTGCTATCAATATGTTCTCTAAGCAAAATTAAATAAGAGGGATTCTCTCTGCCCATCCCCCAACAGTGACTCATGTTTGCTAGGATTCCCAAATCACCTTTGTAATGTATAAACCCAATATAAACAAACTGCCATTAGGGCATTTGGCCTTGAGAGGATGGGGACAGAGATCAAAGCAGAGACTAATCCTGCTCACCTGATATACACGGTTTCTAATATTATTCACTGGATTAGGATCATGCCCTAGGGGTCTAGATGATTATTTTTTCCCCCCTTATTTTCTATAAACTGCAGACTCTGAAGCCAGTTCTAACAGTGCTGGTGCCAGAAAGTGTTTAAAACATGGAGGCAGAGGGAGCTGTTGGTTTTGTTTTTAATTTGCAATTTGTTTAAATAATTAATAAGCTCAGTAAGTATAGGTTAAGAGGTTACAATTGAGTGCAATGGAAAGATGTAACCTGTAGTGTTGTTTTTCAATCAAGTTTCCCATCCTTGATTTAAACACCAACTACACTCCTGGATTACAGGATTGAGATTTACACTGCTTGCATTACATGATGCAGTTCAGGGCTACATTTAGATCAAGCACATACTTTTCATTGATCTGAATTTATATTGTGTCTGGAACAAAGTTACCATTTCTGAGCAAGAAACCTTGAAGTGAGTTAAAACAGATGTGATAGTGAATCTGTACTTCCTCTACCTGAGACATTGTTTTTTTTAGCATTTAGTTCTCATTGCAGAAAATTATGTTGCATAAATGAGATACTGTACCTGATGCACTTTCATTTTTTAATTATTCAAATCAAATACATTCTGTATTTTTTCAAGAAATATGTAACCATACTCAAGTTTGAACTTTGGCTCATAATAAATCCCGCTCATGTCAAGCTTTACTTTATTGTTTGTCGTCTGCTACACTTGTATTAGTTCTTTACTTACTCTGTTTGAACCTATTTTTATTATTGAAAAATATTGTAATTTTTTTCTTAATTTAAATGTTTGTTGTAATTAGCATGCTTCCAATTATTGTCCTTGTGAATTATGATGTCATCCCCAAAAATGTATCATTTGACTTCTGGATAAACTAAATTGAATTGTAACCTTTGTTGATCATTTTTTGGGGGTTGCGAATGCATTTTAAATTGATTGATATATATTACATTCTAGGGGCAAGACAATGTCATGGGAGTTAAATCTTGCTTCAGGAAGGATGATCATGTGGTTATTGTCATGCCATATCTAGAGCATGTCTCCTTTTTGGTAAGATTTTTAAATTAAAATTATGTTTTACAATTGCAGTATTATGCCATTTTTCTATAGTGAGTAAATTGGTTTTATTCTGAAATATGATTTGTCATGACATCATTTGAAGAAAAATTCTTTCTTAGGATCTTTTGGGGTCTATGAGGCTGGAAGAAGTTTGCAAGTATATGTTTAATTTACTAAAAGCCTTGAGGCGTATCCATCATTTTGGCATCATTCATCGTGATATCAAGCCAAGCAATTTCCTGTACAATGGACATCTGAAAAAGTAAGAATACCTACATGCCTGTGTTATGACACAATTTGAATGCATAGTTTGGCTCTGAGGAAGATGCACATAGTTCCACTTTATTCTAGTAGTATCTGCAAGCTATACAATTGGAAATGCACATTGATAAAAGTGAATTTAGGTTTGCCTGCATACTGGCATAATCTTGAAAACAAATTGGTATTCATATCTGCATTACAATGCACTTGGGGCTTGAACACACAGCCTTCTGACTCCGAAGCGAGAGTGCTACCACTGCGCCAGGCTGACACCCAAGAATTTATTAATGCTTCACAGGGAGGAAAAGAAAGATTTGTGTTGTTGACTAATTTGTTTGTTGCTTTTCATTACATTACAGATATGCTTTAGTCGATTTTGGTCTAGCACAAGGTACACCTGATACTGAAATCAACCTCCTTAAGGTAGTAAAGACGGAGGAACAGCAAGGGAGTGGCTCAAGATGTAAACCTACCACAAGCTCTGGAAACAAGGTCTTTCACACAATAACAATCAATAAACCTCTGGCTCAACAGACAACTGGCAAACAACCCATTAAAAGACCCGGGCCCCTTTTACAACCAAAGCATGGAAAGGTATTGCTTTAATTTTCTTTCCGATATATTGTTATGGGACATCAAAGCAATTAAATGGTTTGGTTGCTGAAAGATTCAACTAAGCTACATATAATTGCTGCTATTTTGCTATTTAAAAGATAACTTTATTTGTATTGCTGGTGATTAGTGTAATAAGAATATAGTGGGAGTATTCAACTGCAATAAGAATTACAGCACTATCATCAGCATAGGTACAATAGGGTTAGGAAGACCAGTGTTGCAATTGATCTGTGATTACATCATGGTTAAGCCATTTTTTATTTTATCTTACTTTAAGTGTTGCTTTTCCAAACAAGAAAGGTGTATACAAGGTCACTCATCGCCTTAATCCTTGCCATGCTCCACGAGCTGCCTGTCTCTAAATGGATTGACAAAGTTCTCACCCTTTCATACAAATCCCTTCACTCCCAGCACTTCCTTACCTCTCTAAGCTGCTCATAACTCCACTCCTCTACCCACCACTTTCACCCAACTAGTGTAGACCTTCCATGTATCTCCCAACCCCTCCGCGTTACCATCAGTGGCTATGCTTTCAGCCACTGCCCCTGTAATCTCTGGAGCTCCCTCCTCAGTCTCTGCTTTGCCTCCTCTTCATCTATCTTGAAATCCCACCTGAAAACCTAACTCTTTATGGCTATGATCCCCTCCTCCTCCATCTTCTCTCCTCGGAGTCTAACCCCTCCCTCACTGTACAGAGCTCTTGAGACATTATCCTATGGAAGTTATTGTTGGGGAATCTTTTGTTTACCTTGAATTGAATGTTTTGTTTACCTTGATGTTTTTTTGCACTCTTAAGGTTATTAATGATTGTTTAGATTGTCTCAAGATTTTGAAACATTGACTTCAATAAGCTACAAATATGTGGTAACATTTGCTGTATGACTTTGTACACATTATGTTTGAGTACATAAACTAAGCTATATTTAAAATATTTTATAGGAAGAATATTTAAATTTGTCTACTCAACGGTCTGTATTTGGTGAAAGAAGTTTAAACGTTTGTTGTGCTGGATACTTTGAAGGCCTGGGTATAAAGGTAAGAAACCCGCAGCAAAATGTAAACATGATGCACGGTTATTAATGCACATTGATTGCCCTTTGTAATCCAGTTGACCTTTATTTCCCTTTGTAACCACAATAACTCTAAAATTGTGCAATATTTGCAAGTGATTTTACGTAATATTCCGTTGTCAAAAACAGTGTTAGACTAGTAGCAAAATGCAGGTCTGAGCAGGTCTGTACATTTTTTAGTACTACAATTCACAGATGTCATATCATCAACATCTTTCTTTTTGAAATTCAGCACAAATGGGAGATTATATCTGAGACAGTAGACTGTAGCAGTTAGGTTTTTAAGATAACATAGAGCATGTTTAACTGTAAAACCAAGTCCTTTGTGTGATTGCAAACATCAATTTGGGAAAGTATTGAGATAAAATCTGAAACAAAAACAGAAGTCACTTGGAACACTCAGCAGGTCAGGCGGCATCTATGGAGAAAGGAAAGTGAGTCAACATTTCGGGTCCACGACCCTTCGTCAGAACTGAGGCATGTTGGTAGGGAGAAGCTTTTAAGGACTGACAGAGATGGGGGAGGCAGGGCAAGAAAGACAAAGGAGAAAATGCAGTAGAGGACAGGGGATGATGAGTTAAAGAGGTGTTAATCATGCAAATCAAAGGGGAGAATTGCAGACCAGAGAGAGAAAAGAGAAAAGGTGTGTTTGGAACCCAGATGATGCCGTAATGGTCACAGAAGAGGAGGAGGGGAAGGTGAATTGTTATGGTCTAAAATTATTGAAATTGATAAAATCTAAGATGGCTGCTAATGGTAACTTTAGTTTTCAAATGACTATGCATTTTTAGTTCAGTATTTCTGTATTTCTGTAGTACCAAACAAACCCAGGAGTTTTCCGTCAAATATTCCAGCATTTGGAGAAATGCAGTTTATGCGATACATTATTTATATTTAATGAAATATTTCATGTTTCCATAAATCATACCAATGGCTACAGGCTTGAGTCTTAAGAGACCTTGGCTTCAAGGGTAACAGAATTCAATATTGTGGATACATCAAATGGTGGCAGGTGTAGGGTTTTGATAAAAAAAACAATTTATTTTGTATGTAATCTGAATCGGTGAGAGGTTTGTTTAAAGCCATTAATTTACTTACCTTGCTAGGGGCTTCTGGATTAGTAGCTATCCCCTTTCAATTGCCCTTCTATGTATATCTGATGGTAACATACTGAATAGATAAACCCTGAGGTGAAGGAGTACACGTTTTATTTGAAGATCATGTTACTTCGTTCCTGGCTGACTTTAACTAGACATGTTACTGTATCCAGATATGAAGAATATGGGAACCTACGGAGCAAAAATTTAAGCTGCCCTCAAACAGCAGTAAATGAAAAGGTGGATGGATATGTTTGACATTCTGAAGCACCTGTTCTTTTGGTGGATGGTCCCTTTCCTGGCCCTGACCCCTTTCATGGTCCTGACCACTGACTGTCCAGCCCCTTGGGACGTCCTCCTGACGTGAAAGGCGCTCTATAAATGTAATTCTGTCGTTGTTGTTGCGTCCCTTGATACTGTACCTCACTTTCAACAATAGAATCAGAATTACCATAACGTGTGGGTAAGATAATAATAATCCTTGCACTTGATATAGCGCTATCACCCGTCGAGACATCTCAAAGCATTTCACAGGATATTCTGTAACGTGGTTTGATAACCTGTTAAGTCAAGCACATTGATTTATGTTTGTCTTTTAGAAAATTTGTAATTGGTACACTGTTTCAAATGACGTTCTTTATTTTACAGCCAGGGAAATCTATGAAAACTACAGATATAGCATCGAGAAAAATAATAACGGCAAAACGTAAAATATCAACAAAGGGTACGACAAGTGGATTAGTTCGGAAACCCACCATATGCCCATCACACCTGACTTGTGACTGTTTTATGACAGACAAGGTTTGCAATGTTTGCCTCTCAAGGTATTGTACCATCAATAATGAAAGAATAATGTTCTTTGTTTTTGCTTTGCAATTAAACTAAATAACATTTGTAAGTTATTTAATTGTTTAAGAAATTGTACAGAAATTCCTTTGCAGCTATTAAGACAATTGTACAACATCATCTACAAAATTGAGCAATTCACTTTGTTCTAAGAAAAGTACATCTTGGAATAACAAATCAAGGTGGGCATGTTTGGGAATACGATCCACAGCAGTTTCCTTAAGTGTTAATTTGATCCCAGCAAATACCAGTCCTAAAGCTGTGACATGTCCACATTTAAAATTGTCTCCAGTTGCACGTTTGTCTTGCCACATAAAAGAAAATGGTTTTCTGTGCCCTGATTCCTGTCCGTTAGCCTCAGGTTTTTCTTTAAACCTGTAACAAAGCCATAAGTTTTGAACTGCTGGAAGGATACTTGAAACTTGTTAAATGTGAACCTGCAGTTGCAGTAAAACTAGTAGTGATGAAATAAATGCCTGTTATTTTTGCATACTGTTATAATGAGCAGAAATGATTGCATTTGTGTTATTCCTTTGTTTGGTGAAATGATAATGTGCAACAATGTTATCCTCATCTTCAGACGGCAGCAAGTTGCCCCAAGAGCAGGTACTCCAGGTTTCAGAGCTCCAGAAGTTCTAATGAAGTGCCCTCAACAGACTTCAGGTTAGAAAGAATTTAAAAGGTTTTTTTTTAATTACTCATTGAAAGGAGTTAAAGGAGGATATCATTTCAGGGAAAGCTTTGAATGGAAAGTATTTCTGTCCTTTATTCTCCTGGGCTCTGCAATAATTCCTGTTTAAAAAAAAATGCATTATTTCTATGGGAAGAGACCTTTGCATTTTGGAATTTTAGAAAGCAGCTTTGGAGATCGACTACATTAGGTCTCTTCATTGTTTCTCATTTATACAATGTATGTTGGTTTCATGTATGCCTGTTGGTGTTGGGAGTATCAGCATTCTTTCAATTCTTGATTCAAAGGCTAGTTTGGACACAATCAGTACTGTACATTTTCTAGACCCCAGATTTATTAAATGGATCACAGAAACCTAACCTCACCGAGTAATGCCCATAACCCTTTTCGTAACCGCCTACAATAATATATACAGGATAGGAAATCAGGAAAGTGTATCTGGATTTCCAGTACACTAACATGGAGTTGAAAAGTGCTGATTTGCACCTGCAATTTCCTTAAAACAACACATTTCCATTCATGACCAAGCTGTCAGACACAGGTGCAAGAAGACCCCAGATACTTTACCACAGGGAGGGAAATAATCAGTCTAACCTGCCATCAGGAGTAGAATTAGTGGAGGCTTGGGAACAGCTCATCTGTCTTTTCTCTTAACCAGTGGATCATCCATTCCTCGAAGGGTTCTAAAATTTGGAAATAAATTACACAAACAAACAAAATTTGATTATTTAATTCTTAATATAGTTATCCACATGTAGACCTTTGTTCATTTAAGAATGAATGCGACAATTTGTACTTTTAACACTTGACTGTTACATTAAGTTACTTAATTGGGCAGCAAAAATGCAGGATATATTAATCAAAACAGATTGAACTATATTTGATAGTACTCTTAAAAAAAGTGTAACAATTAAAGAAACTGTATATTACACTGATATAAAATTTCCTATGAAAACTTATGTGAATTGTTTGTTTGCGATGTTATCGTGAAATATTGTAACAGAAACCTCACCAGTATCAAATGTATTTACTGTTGTATACTGTTCAGCGTAAGCTTCTCAACATAGCAACATTTTGCAAACTTGTTCAAAATGGCCTCTCGTTTAAATTAACAAAATTATTTTTAATGTACATGTGGAATTAATTTTATGGAGATCTGAAATCCATTTCCTGTTTTTCAACTAAATGTTTATTGCCCAGTTTGTGGCTGTGCTGTTGACTTTTTTCAGGAATAATCAGTACAAAATGCACAGCATATGCTATTAAGAAGATTCTAGTTATAATCAGATTCTGTTACATTGTTGATAATGAGACTAAATGTTTCTGATGGGCCGATATCACTTTACAGAGCACTTTCCAAGCAAATAGTATTTTAAGTACTTTAAATCTACATCTTTGGTTGCCTCAAAATGCACTTTCTATTAATGAGTTACCAAGTAACATTGATGGTGTCAAAACAAATCCCACCATTGTATCTGGAAAAAATTCTCCTTCTTAAGTGGCTCATTACGGGGAAACTATCCGGAGGATTGAAGAGAGAAGTAAACTAACAAATCAAATGCCCAGACTGTTGCTTCAATGCTGATTCAGCAGCTTCAGTTCATATTTTTCCCCCAAGCTGTGTACAACATGTGCATAAATGTGAGTAAAGAAATGAGTAACTCATTTGATCTTTGCAGTGCAGAAAATAAGAGACAGATTCCATGCAAGATTTCCAGTGTTAGCTCTGTGGGATGAAGTCTGTCAATAATTATCCATGCCAGTGCTTAGTATATTCTTAAGTATGCTTTTGTTGTAAAATTCAACCACAAAAAAATATTTTATTTCCCTCCAGAAAACTAACCCTTTTAAGTTTTTTTTTAAAAAAAGCTGCCTGCTGCAACACTTTTTTTGAATAATGAATATGAAAGGATCAGTTGAATGTTTTATTAATTTCAGAATGTGCTTTTTACTTCACAGCAATTGACATGTGGTCTGCAGGCGTTGTCTTTCTTTCTTTGTTGAGTGCACGATATCCATTTTTCAAAGCCAGTGATGATTTAACTGCATTGACACAGATCATGACTATCCGTGGATCGAAGGAAACCCTCCAGGCTGCTAAATCCTTTGGTATAAAATGTCCTTTTTTAAAAAAAAAATGTTTAGTCATTTTCCAGCAACATTTCTGTGCTATTAAGATTGACAGTATTTTTAAACTAACTAATAAATTTCAATGGACGAGTTAGGCAAAAGTGGTGTGTTCAAACTCGCTTGCACATGCCACAGATATTTTTAAAATTCATAAAATACCTCCTAATATGTATAAAATCTAGAATTACTTAAATTGGAAACAACTTAAAATATCTATCATGTCACTGTAGAATAATTATATTTTCCAACCAACCTGCTACAAAAATATAAAAATGGCTGCATTATTTTTGAAATGGTAGACATTGATCCAAAACTCTGGTTCTTTCGCCCATTATTGGCAGCGGATCTGTATGTCTCCCACACCAGAAGTCTGTAGTTGGTAACATTGTTTTTTCTACTTGTTAAAAACAGTCCCACAGCCTCTGAGGAAATTCCTTTAAAGTTTTGTTCTGTACTTTGTGGTTTTAATTTGTAAAAACCTTGCACTATTTTCACCACAAGCGTTTTGAATGAAGCCTACAGGGATCAGATGGATCTGGTTACTCCCTAGATGCCAGCTGATGCCAACAACTCCTAGTAGATGAGTTCATTCATTTGGGCCACATTCTCACAGAGACCCTTCCTGTGTTGACATGATTGTTTTTAGCCACTCGAATCACTTATTGTTTCAAAGTTCCTTTCATCTGCAAAATGGGCAGCAAGGGCAGGGACACTTGGAGGGGAAAAAACTGGTAATTAAACTATTTAATTATTTCAGCACTGTGGACAAACTTACTCATTCAAGTGCTGCAGTGCAGGGCTGCCAAAAACCTTGACCTTTGAGTCCCTACACACTTACCATTGTTCTGAGAGGGTGTTGTTGATCAAAAAGCACTTTGTCCTGGCACATGAGAGATTAGGATTTAAAACAGGGTGATGGCTTGCAACTGAATAAAAGGCAGGGTGGACAGAATTGCTGAGAAAGTATGGTCTGGCATAAATGGGGTACAATTCATTAAACGTGTGCTTTTGCTCCGGTGCAAATAGTGCCATGGAGATAATGTAAATCATGCCATTCAGCATCCATGAATGTGTTGACCCAATACCGAGCAAGAATACAGAATAAAACCACATTAGGAGGGATATCAAGATTTCATACAAGGAGGACCAGAAGTAGTATCTCACTGAATACCTAGCTCTTTAAAGTTTTCACTCAGAAGATGGAATTCGAGTAGTTTGTTGTGGGAACATTGCTGGCTTCCTGGAATGCTTCTACTTTGAAGACTTCCATTGCCCGATTAAAGAATTCAAACTACCTCATCAATCCATAGCAATTCTATCTTGATCTGCAGGTGCTGTCAGTTCAAGAATTTTTCTGCCACTAACATTTCTAGCTCTTGATTACCTCCAGTGAGGACAGAACAGCAGAGGAATATTCACAGTGTTCTGGTTTATGAAATATGCCTTTTTATTCCTCTGGTTGTTTCTACAAGGAGCTGGATTCTGGTTCTGAGCCAATGTTAATTCATGTAAGATTACAATTATTTTATTAGCCTTTTTCTTACCACAAAAAGTTAAAGAACATGTACAGATCACTAATCTAAATCCCAGTAATATTGACCCAAACCTTTTTTGTTTAATTTTAACTTTTCTTTAAATTAATTTTTTATATTCTGTGAAGCGCTTTGAGAAGTCTCAATGGTGTGTTACGGCGCTATATCAAGTACAAGATTATTATTATGATGTATCACACCATTACATGTAAAGGATGGGATTGATAAATTTAACTTAATTTTACTTTTGTTTTCCAGGTAAAACTGTGTTGTGCAGCAAAGAGAGTCCAGCCCTGGACTTGAGGACTCTGTGTGAGAGACTCAGGGGAACAGACAGCATGAGAAAAAAGACATTCAACCAAAATATCGAAGTATTGAACTGTTCGCACGTTACTGGCAATGTGCCAGAGTCAGATTTAAAGGATGATAAAAAGAAGGAAAAGATTGATTTCACAGCAAGCGAACAAGAACCATCCCACAACCAACCAAGAAAGCTCAACCAGGGTATTCTGTGCAATTCAGATTTCAAAAGCATTGAGAGATCACCAGATACGAAGGGGTGGGATAGAGTTCCAGATCTAGCATATGACCTGCTTGATAAGCTTTTAGATCTAAACCCAGCCACAAGGATCACTGCAGAAAAAGCTTTGCAGCACCCATTCTTTGAAGGTTTATAATTCAAAGTGAGTATATTGAATGCTGCAAATCACACATGGGGAATAACATGAATATGGCTAATATAGTGAGCCAACGTTATTTAATTTAGTCAAACACGGCTGAGCATTCAAAATGTTTTACCTAAGAGAGCAAGTTGTTTTTAATACACCAACTCTTTCAGTTCGTCCATTGTGCAAATAGTGGATGATTTATATGCTCATGACCCGGTAATCATCTAACCTTTTGAGCAGCCCCTTCCAGCCATTTTGAGATTTTGTACTGTTTTTAATTAAACTTGTGCATCTTAGAAATCGTATGTACTTTTTTTAAAAAAAATTTTTTTTTTATAATCCAGTTTTATTTTCTACCCTCTAGTTGGGTCTTCCATCTAATGAATAATTCCTCAACAGGTGAGCTTATTTGCTCAATACTACCCAATCAGAGGAGGTGTACAAGAGCAGCCTGGATAGAATTGCCCTTTGTTTCTTCGCCCTCTTTCCTTCTCCCTCTGTATAAGAACTTCTGCCATGCAACATATCAGCAGCTCACCTTGTATCTCAGAGCACTGGAGCACCAATGTATTAAGGTATCCAGTTTCCTCCTTTGAAATGCTTTCTAATTTACAGATGTACACAAACAAGTACACTGATCTAAATCAGGAGGTGTAGCACAACTGCCACTCATTCATCTCTATGTTGCCAATGCTACTGCTCAGTTAGAGGCAGTTGATTTGAGTAGTATCAAACTCGTTTTCATCGGAAACTTTTTTTTTAATGTCTTGCAAATAGCAATGATGATGTATAATGCACAGACAGTACAAACTGCCTGGTGAACAGTTTAGTAGCTAGTGACAGCAGTTGTAATTTGCAGGGGAATCAAATCTGAATACAATTATACAACTATAATTCAGAACAGAACTGTGAACTCGGATCTCAGGGTTACTCTGCAAATGTTCATGAAATGACTTTTTTTATATATATATATATATATTGTTATTGTTACATTTTACACCATTTGATTTTTATATTCAATGAGGAAATTTAATTGTAAGACTATGCCTAGTAAAATTTGTATTAAATGTGTCCAGATGAAAGTGTTTTCAATTTATGTTTTCAAAACCTCAAATTGAGCTGCAGTCAGTTTCTACCAACAGCAGGAATGCTCAGTTGTACATAAAATTAGTGAATTTGACAGTAGTATATTTTGCTACCTATTTTTTCAGGAACAGTTCTGTAATTGGGATTTCAGGAAACGTTTAGAACTACAAACTTTGCACAGGATAGTAATTGTAATCCACTTTGTTTGTTTGGGGGAAAAAATGGTGCTTTACCTGAATTAACCACTGCCATTTCTGATTTGTATTTGTTGTGTGTAAAATGAGTAAATGGACTATGGGTGATGTTTCACTCTAGTTTGTACATCTTCTTGTCACTGACTGATTTACGATACTTTGTTGGGGCAGTTTTTTGTTTCAAGACCGCTGCTGTTCATTTGAAAATGGGAAATAAAAGAAAATACTGGAAATTGTTCAGTCATTCATTTTGTTCAACATCTGTTGTTTGGTGAATAAAGATCTGAACTTAAATATGTTTTGAAATGGAGTTCATATCTACAAAGATAACTGCCATTTTTCATTCATGGTTTTACCAGTGTTGGAAAATTACCCTTTAAAGTACCACTGAAACCAGTATTCTACAATATATATATATATATATATATATATTTATAGCGTATGATGTTCATTTACTTACAGCTGGTGTCTTGGTTTTTCAACCTTTCAGAAAGGTAAGTTAGCAGTGTAGTGCCTTTTGGAGCTGATGTTAATAGGAACAAAGGAATTAGGAGCAGGAGTAGGTTATTCGGCCCCTCGAGTCTGCCCTGCTATTCAATAAGATCATGGCTGATCTTCTAACCTAACTAACTCTATCTGCCGCCTTATCCCCATATCCCTTAATCCCTCTGTCCTTTAGAAACCTATCAATCTCAGTCTTGAATATAAATTGAATTTCTCTTGCAAATCAAATGTGGTCAAGCTGTTGTTGTACAGTGGGTACAGACAAAGTACATATTTGATTTTACAGTATAAAATGGAAAAATGGGTTTGCTCTCGACCATCCATAGATTTTACGGTTTGCAGCACAATAAATGGAACTTCACCCTGTATTTGGATTTTGATATGGGCTGTGGGTGAAAAAAGTTATTGCAATGATAAGAGATTTCCTGTGAACAATAATCCTTTCTTTTCAAAATTTCAAAATAGGGATTGAGTCAAACCCTGCTGAGTTACTATCAATGAGTCAGAATATTACCAGATTTAATTAGTCCCAATGCCAATAATGTCCATGCTAACTGAAGGTTCAATTATAGATCTATTATTTAATTGTTTTGAACACCCCTTTCTTCAAAGGTCACTTATGTAGAACAAAACAAGGATATTGTGGTCATAATTTACTGAAATGTAACAATATGTACAGAATATTCAACATGGCAATTCACGGCAATTCCAATCCCAAAGCACAGAAATAGACAACTCTTGATTGTCCACTTTCACTCATTTGGGGGTTATGATCTACATGATAATAATAATAATAATCCTTGCATTTGATATAGTGCTTTTCACGTCTTCTAGACGTCTCAAAGCGTTTCACAGAATAGACTGTATAAAGTGAATTGACTATATTTGTGGGCAAAATGTGGCAGCCAATTGAACACAGCAGTGTCCCTCAAACAGTCATGGATTGAAATGACCAATTTTTTTTTTTTCTTGAGGATTATTATCAGACGTGTGGAGTAAGGAAACTTGCCCAAGGTTTCACCCTGCCGGGAATCGAACCAGATCTCTCGCTTGCAAAACAAGTGCTCTAACCACTGAGCTACAGGACTCCGATCCCAATTAAGGTTTCTATACGAAATAGAGCTTCAGAACTCTCCCTTGCTGTATGCAACTGTTTAATCTACAATGTTGTCTCCTGAATAACTGCTTCTATTTTCACTGTAGAAATGTTTTCATACTCACTAAAGGTACTTTGGAAATGTAATCTTGGCATTTAACTTTCTCAATGGAGAACTAAAGGTAGTGGCTACAATGCTAAATTGAGACAGAAGGCCATAACGGGAGACAGACACATGGAGCAGATGGGAAAGAAAAAAAACAGCATTTGCTATTGGTAAGCCTTGTCTGTATTTCCGAGTAACACTATTCTTGGTAACGTACTATTGCTCAAACATTCCAAGCAACAACTTCAGACCCCCTTCCCTGGCTCAACCCCTCCCCGTTCTGATAAGTCCCACCAGGACTCAACGATATGTTGCTCAGTGCCTAAAACTGCTCTTCACAGAAAAAACTGTTTTTTTAATAGTATAGTATGATTCTGCACGTTTTGGTAGGTCATTTTGAAGCTGGTAATCATCTTCAATTTAACATTGAAATTCTTCTTCATTGATGGGGGTCAATAAGTAGTTGTGTATAATATATTAAGATGATAAATTGTCTGTGGTTTATTTATATTAACAGTACTCCCATATTTCAGGAAACATTGACACTCAGAATAATTTTAGAGAAATTACCACTTATTTAAGATATATGAAAATGTCAAGATTTTTAGGGAGGCCCTGAACACATTAAGTTTTAAAACAAATGCACATTTTTAACAAAATTGCATCATATCTAACACTGAAAACTGAAATTCATGCAAAGCTATCATTAACAACTAACTAAGAGGGTGAAAAACACATGGAGTGAAAGTTTAATGTACTAATGGTGTATGTTTCCAAATTATTCCAATATTTCCTAGTTATCACACCATGTTGGAAAAAATTAGACCAAAGTTGGAACAAAATGTTCCATTTATTATTTTTCAGCATCCATTACAATCTCATGAAAATAAAAGTTGTAACTAACAATTATTCTTGAATTTCTGCTAAAAATAGCTTGTGCTCACAGTTAATTCTCAATCTTTGACTTCTTGAGTTAATCCCGTCCAGTAATTTGGTAACTTTAACGCAACCCTGTGAGGATTATGAGGGTCTGAGGTTCAATTTAGTCTGTTATTTAATCGGGATATAATTTTGGTATGTAGTTGGTAATCAACAGCTTTCAATTTAACATAAATTAACTTTCTAGCATATGGTGGTTTTGTATCTGATCCAGTAACACTGGGGGTTCTATTTAGCATATTTTCTCCTAACAGTCTTATTTCTCAATTTTATTACTTTACTCTAGTTCACATCTTGAAAATTTGTTTTAATTATTTGCAAATGTTACATTGGTCATATTTTAGTTAACTTTGCCAAGTGGAATACTTGTCGTATTGAATTTGTATATATTCCTTGAGCCAGCTCAGTGCCTAGACTCAAGGGCATTTCATTTTTAATAATTTACAGATTCAACATTTCACGTTTTATTGGCTTACAATCCCACTGTTTTTAATGTTATTCATATGATGATTTTATATTGAAAACGAATAGCTGGAGTAAAACATATCTATAAAAATCTGTGGATCTTATTATTCCTATCACAAGTCTTGTAAACAAAGACTGTAATTTCTATACGTGAAAAGAACTGCTATCCATATGCCTTCCTTAACTGTACATAAATCTGGACTAACGTTGAGTCTGTTGAGTTCTGGGACCATTGACCAGATTTTCTATAAAGCTGAAGGGAATTCCAGCATCATTTCTGGTTATCCTCACCTGGTGAGTTAATTATGGTGTTGAGTTCCAGGCAGACTGTGAAAATAGTAATTATGCATATTGGGAATTGTAGTTATTTATTTGGACGGATTCCCACAAGAATCATATGATTCAAGAACTAAACTCTCACAGTACGGTACTTCCGTGATTAAAGTAAAGCAATTTCTAAGCATCCCCTATGTTCAATGAGTAAGTAAACCCGTGGTGTGGTCCTGGGCCCAAGTTCATTCCTGGTTTGTGCTGAATCATCCAGTTTCAACTGGGCAGCTGTGATGGTTATTAAATTAGCCTCTGTAACCCTGGGCAGGTAGTGGATATTTCAGCCTGCATTCCCACCCCTGCAGAGCTTGTTAACATACTCGTCTAGACTCACCACATAAAGACTAGCTACTTGAACAAGGAACGAGAGGCCCACTGGCACCCATAGAACTGTCCCAATGTTAGTTACTGAAAGGAAGGGAGAACATTAAGGTTGGGGAGGGAATAAGAGAAGCAATTAAATATTCTAACTAATTTGGTTCTTGGAATTAAATCCCAATCTAGAATGTAAACCTTGCTTGCCATCTGCACAGTTTTAAATACTAATATCAGTGACATAGTACGAAAGATAACACCAAATTGTTAGCTGGGAAATATAAGGATTATTATTATAAATGTTTGCGAGTTACATGTTGCAAAGGAAAAAAATATGGAGTAAGGTTTCAAATACAGTATATTATCATTAGATGTATTTTCATCACATATCTCAGTTTTAATATATCACATTTAGATTTCTGACATTTAGAGTATGACTAGGATCCCATTAAAACAAACCAATTCTGTTTCTGGACATTAAAATTATGTAAATAAACAGGGTCGACCAGTAGAATGCACAATATATCTACTGTGTGACATTGGAATGCTTAACTCGTACATTTGAAGGGCAAGTGAGTAGACGTTCTGTAGTTTATCGTCACAAGTTTGTTGCTTTGCATTCTTCTCTAATCTAAAATTACTTGTATGTCTACCACTTCTGTGATGTGGGGTGGAATTCTGTTTCCTACTTCACTTTTCAACCTTGGTGTATTCTGCACTGGGAGTCTAGGTCCTTCACCTAAGCTCTCAATTTTTTTAAAAAAATTGTTAAATATGCATATTTTAAATATCTTTGCTCTAAAGCGATTAATTACAATAACTTAGCATTTTGTTCTTCCTTGTGACGAAGTCTGGTGCTGCTGTCAATATTTGCGTCCTTTGATAATGTCCACACATTTTTTTATGAGAATTGTGAAAACAAATATTTGAAAAATATTCGTCTCCTCTGACTACATTGCTTTATACCATGTTCCCTGGTTATCATTCTCAGTACATTGAGACCCACAGCCATTGAAATTAAAAGTCTGACAAATTCACTTGATTTTGCAATATTTGGTGAAAACAGCACTCTGCTGTTTTCCGCTGTTGGTTAATGATTAAAAACTGCAGATCATCCAAAACTCTGCAGCTCGTATACTCTCGCGCACCAGGCTCCGTGATCCCATCACTACCACCCTCGCCCGACTCCACTGGCTCTCCATCCCTCAGAGGATGGAATACAAGATGCTCATCCTCACTTTCAAGGGCATCCATGGCCTTGACCCTCCTACCTCTCCGACCTGCTGACTCCCGACCAACCTGCCCACTCCCTCCATTCAGCGGGCTCTGGCCTGCTCCATATCTCCCGCCCGACCCGTCCTACCATCGGTGTCCGGGCTTTCAGCCTCTCTGCCCCCACACTCTGGAACTCCATCCCACGGTCCCTTCGCCTCACTTCCTCCCTCGCCTCCTTCAAGGCCGGCCTCAAGACTCTCCTC